GTTCGCACAGTTTAAAATTTACTATTTTTATCTGCATTTGAAATTGAATTAATAAAAATTAATATGTAAATATAATGTTGCTCGAATTAACGCTTAATCGTCAGAGCAATTCTGGTGCTTTCGAAATTATAGTAATTCTATATCGATAGTATAAAAATCAGCAATTACAACTCCATAAGCTGATTTGTTTACTAATGCAGCGTTATAGTAATATTTTAAAGTCAAAGTTTCATATAATCTTTAATTTTAACATGAATCATACATGAAGAAGCGAAATCTATAAAATTAATTACCACTTTAATAAGTTGGTAATTCATTGTAGACAATACTAGCAGATTATTATTTCTAAGAATATATTTTTGAACAAATAGTATCCCATAATGATTTGTTTATAACTGTATTACAAAATTTGAAAACATGTGGCAATCAAATTGAGATCCCTCCCCCCTTCGCAATCAGACATTAATTAGTTTGTTATTTATTATTTTCTATCAAAGAAATAATATAATCTTCAATGCATTCTTATGTCAATTACGTGTTTCGAAAAGACATACTTACGTAAACGTCCACTTATCGTTTTATATAATATTCATTTTAACCATGTATAATATTTTCTACATATATGAAAAGTATTTCTTTTCATTCCCCCCTTCTCTCTCATAACAGTTACACCTCTGACCAAGATAATTTTAAAAAAAAAAACTTGGCTTAAAAATTGCAGTAATATACTGCATTAATACATAATTCAGCTTATAAGTTGTAATTGCTGAATTGTGTATAGCAATATAGTATAACTGCAATTCTAAAGTACATATTTAAAAAACGCTTTCAAATATATAAAAAAATTCGAAAATAAATATATTGTATGTGTAAATTAAATCATATATCTAAATCAACAGAAATTACATATTTTAATAATATTAGTTTTGATATTTAAGTTACACAATTCAGCTTATAAATGTGAATTGCTGAATTTCGATCCATTACAGATTGCATTGAAAATTATTTTGACCAGAAAACAATATAAACGTCGTCGCCCAACATCGCTTATTTTTAGAACTGTACAGTACACATTTTTAACCCAAAAATAATGATTTAAACACTTAAGATAATTTTTAGTAATTTTATATTATTTTATTTTTCTTTTTTAAAAAATTTTATCATTTTTTTCACAAATATTTTTCAATTCTAAAACTCTCTTTCATCTTTTTTGTTCAACTACATTATGTTTTTTTGTTTTCCACTCGTGTATATATATATGTAAATATATACATAGATATATATTTGTTAAATGACAGATCCGTGTTATCCTTACAGCACTAAGTGAAATACCTAAATAACAAAAGGACAATCGTTTATTTTAAAAATAAACCAAAAAAAAAAACAAGAAACAAAGAAAAATTTTCACAATTTTGCACCCATTTGTTGTGTTCTGTATCAACAAAAAAATTTTAATTCAACAATTTTTTTTTTGTTGACTGAAAACAAAAATAACAAATTATTACAAGTAAAACAATAATATAAACATTTACGCATGCATACATATGCACTTAATGTATCTGCATATATAAAATATTGGTGTGCGAAAGTAACTGTACACAAATCAAATTTTTACACAGAATCCCGAAAATACTCGATTTTTTTTTATTATTCTATATAAAATATATAATGCGCATTGAGAAAATTGTAAAAACATATTCTAACGATATTGTTTTTTGCTTCCTAAGGCGAGCATATAAAAAATCTTCAATTTAGGCCATCATACAAAAAAAAATGCAAATACAATAATTGAATACTTATTACACCTGTTTTAAATAACTGAACTACAAACCATACTCCTCTCTCACACGATTTGAGAGAGCAAAAAGACGTAACATTTTATACAAAACCGCCTCCTTGCACTTTTATAAATTTTTCGATTGGTGAAATAAAAACGGCAAACGAAAAAGTAAAACAAAATAAGGAGGAGTTAAAGAACAAAAACTAACACACTCACAAAAAAAAAAATAGTAACAAAAATAAAATATTAAGTCCGCCTACAATCATACAACGAAAGCAACAACGAATCTCCAATACATTTAAGAACTTTATTTTACGATATTAAAAAAATTGAAATTTTTGTAAATATAGGCTTATAATGTCTCATGCCTCAAAAGAAACAGGCCCTGAACAAGTCCTGTCTGAACAATCATTTTAAATTGATATGTTCTCATTTGTTGAAATTACAATTCTATTACATTTTGTTTACTACAAATAATAAAATTTTAGAGACGTGTGAATACTAGAGAGAGAATAAAAATTACAATTTACAGCCCCAATTACAGTTTTTACAGTACAATTATATTCTCCAATTAGAGAGAAGTTTTCATGAAAATACTATTTGTACATGTAATGTATAGGTAACTCTTTATTATGATTCATATATTACTTATATATAAGATTTAGTAACTTAATGTTACAAAAAAAAAAAAAAATCAACACCTTAGCTTTATTAAAATTACTAAATAAAGATCGCTTACTTCTACTTTTATTTGTTATATGGCAGTCGCAAAATGCTTGTTATATGAGGAAGTATAACAAGAAATTTTTAAAATTAAAAGATAAAAAAAAATCTTAAATAAAAACTATAGTTAAGGACGCGGCGCAGGCAAACGCAAATTTTTATTTTGCAGCTTTTATTTTTATTTGTTTCTATTCCATAGATTTATATTCAAGCGCGTACACATGCAACGATGTAATGATCGCATGCAATGAAGCAATCAAACATATTTTTGTTAAATAATTAAATTGCTTAAGTGTGTGCATAATTAATTTGCAATCAAACTGCAATAGCCCAGGCAGCCACGCGTTTTATCTTGTTGCCTGTTCATGGCACTTATTAATTTATGTTGAATATGAAAACTATATGAATTAAATATTTGATAATTTATTAAACATTTCCGAAGTCTAATTTTGCAATCCTCCTAAATATTAAAACAAATTAAAAACCTCGAAAATGTTCCGATTTGTCGGGTTTTTCCTTTAATTTGAAAAGCAGATTTATCAAAATTATAGGTGATAACGTCTATCCCAGGGAGTACAGGTCATTTTATTAAAGTCCAAAAATTTAGTGAAAATTTTGATAAAATGAATCAAAAAAAAAGGATCCCAGCTATTATCCTTTTTGTTATAGTTAAATATATGGATACAAAAAAAACAATTAAAACAGAGACACACACCAAGTATTGAATTGTACGAAAATTTTTTATCAATATCGAAACTTCAATACCAACATATTTTTCGAGTGCCATCTGTTATTCAAAAGGAGACATAAAATTACGATAAAATATTCGATATTATTTTGTGAATTCACAAAATTACGACATATAAATTTGCTACGAGTACATATTTAGAAAATCGTTGTACATTAAAAAAGCAACATAAATTTCGAAAACAAACACTAATTCGAAAATAAGTTTGTGTTTATAATATTGTTTTTTATTTTTAAGAGAGGCCATGTGATGGCAACAAATTTTACATATCGATGGGAACACGATTTTCCATGGTAAGGAAGTGCAAATAAACTATTTTTAGAAACCTGTGCACGCGTGTATCTCAAGTTCGGCTGAACCGATTTTTATGAAATTTTAACTATGAGTATCTTTTGGCTATGTCACGGATTGATCTTCTTCTGGCATGTATCAGATCTTTTTCCCGGGCCAATTTTAGATTTTTAGCCCATATAAAGAGAAATAATCAGTCAATGCCCTTTAAATTTAATATATAAATTTATGGAGTGTTAAAACAATGAACATATAAATTTTTTGGAACGATCAGGGCTCGGAAAACGAACTAGGGGCCGGATTAACATTTTTATGGAGCAAAACAATGGAATTTCTTGAAATTTGATATTTGAGTTCTGGTTCTTACCGAAACTAACTGGTGAGCATCTCAGTGAATTCGGATGGCGCACAGCGAAACTGTACTAAGAGCCATATTCACATTTTTCTATATATGTTTACTTAAAGCTGACAAACGCCCTAAAAATTTAAAAGCAGTATTTAAAAGGCATTTTTATAAAATTCTGTAACACTTTTACTTAGACAATTCACTTTGCGGTCGGTTATGTGCTGATCGCATCAGATTTTTTAATATGCAGTGCTACCGAAAATGAAAATTATCTTCGAAATTATGATTTTTTGGTCATATTTTTTGTACAAAACTTCAAAAGAAGATTTTTAAAATTTTCAAATTTTACATACAAAAATACCTTTAAAATTAAGGTTTTTTAATACCACAGAAGTTTTTAAAAATTGGAATTTTTGCAACTTTTGACCAAAAAGTCCATTAAGTCAATTTAAGAGCGAACACATCTTCATGACCAAAAAGTCCATTAAGTCAATTTAAGAGGGAACACATCTTCATGACAGAAAATTTTTGATATTCTCCGCTGTAATTAATTTAATATTAATCAACTTGGTGCATTCAATTAATGCGTATACAGCTTATGACATCATTAGCTTTTCTTTTTGGTATCTGACGTGGTTCGAATCGAAATCGCGATATTTTAGCAAAATGAAAATTTTATTTTAAAAAAATGAAAATGTTTGGGCTAATCTATTTGGCAGCACTGTTTATTATGTCACTCTATTTATACGTGCCACATTGGTTATTTATTTTGGATCATATTTTATTGCGTACCAAAAAAATATCTCTATGTATTGTTTAACATATATTTAATATTATAGTTCATCCGCCACGCATTTTTCTATTCTATATTTTATACATCTTGAAATAGATAATGATATTGCTTAATATCACTGTTAAGGCTTTTATGAGTAGACAAAACTTTTGTATAGAGAACGATGTTCAACGGCTAAAACAGTAGGAACACAGGGACGTAAAGTCAATCTCGACTGATTTTTTTAACTTATTGAAATTTTAAGAATAGCTCCGTAGATTATAAGTATAGCGTTATTAAATATGATTTGGAAACTTCAGAACAAGAACTTTCTCATAAATATCTACAAAAATTAGTTAAAGTTTATTTTCGGAATCACATGACAATATAATTCGAAAAGTATGAAATTTTCAATTTTCATTTTTAAAAAATGTTAATTTTCTAGATGACGTAACATTAGAGCTTCCTCTAATTTCAACACAGCTATGGTAACCTTATAAATTTAACTTTAATTTGGTATATGAGTTTCCCTCCTATCTGTTCTGGTTGAAGAGTAATTGAGAAAAATAAAAGTTTACAACAATCATTCAAACTGATTTCTTCCTTCAATTATAAAAATGTTCTACTTAACAACCAAGTTTCCCTTACATTTACAATAATTCATGGACCCAAGAATATCATATGGCGTCTTTTATTGTAAGTTAGTTTTGATTTTAGAAATCTTCCCTTCCGAAATATGAAAATAAAAAAGTTTCATAATTAATTTAACAAGAAACTTTTCGCAACTCACTAATAATGCCAAATTTTTCCTTCTGTTTCCCTTTTCACATGAAATGAAATCAACCATTCTTATTGAATAATTATTGTTCAAAAATAAATTAACATTACAGAAAAAAATTACACATTTTAATACACTTTTTCAGCAATTCTGCTTATGAATAATAATTGCTGAACTGTTTAAGGAAAGTATTATTGCATTTATGAAATTTGAATTTAAACCGCCAAATCACGCAAACTTTACTTAAATGAAGTAAAAAAATTTGTGGAAAATTTGAATATTATATTTAAATTTTTGCAAAGAAAATTGTAAGCGTCTATGTTCAGTAACATATGTTCGAGATTTTAAATATTTGAGATTGTTGTAGATTTTATTTTTTTCGCAGTACTAGTTTTCATGATTGTTGGTTTATCAAGAGTTACTGTTGATGTTCTTCTAACATTTCTTTTATTGTTATCATTAATTTGGGTAGATATTGATGATGTTGGTAATGATTGCTTTGTTGTTATAAGACTTGTTGTTTCGATATTGGTTGTTGTTTTCAATTCCTTCTCAATTAAAGATTTTTCTGTTGTTCCTGTACCATTTAATGTTTTTGTTGTCCCCATTAATAAATTTGTATTGTTTGGAAAACATTTTGAACATTGCCTTTTTAATGCAGGACGTTGTTGTGAACCTAAACATTGCAATGCAAAACAAAATTCTTCACTCATTTCAGAATAAATTGATCTTTTTGGTATTTTATATGAACGATTTAATAATGCTGCTGATGTAGCTGAATTTAAATTGTGTTGTTTTATATCATATAATTGTCGTTTTATATTATTTAATTGTTGTTTACTTATATCATTATAAACTGCATCATTTTTTAATAAAACCGCTTCATATCTTCTTTTCATCAATAAATTTGTCGTTTTTACATTCGATCGTTTTTTTGTAACATAACAAAATTCGCATATAGCTATTGATACTGCAATCGCTATACCACATAATAAAACTACAAATACACCACCTAAAATTTATTAAATACATTAATAAACATAATACATATATCTAGCAATACATATATACAGGGTGATTCAGAAAGATATACAACAACATATACCATTGGTTAGAGGGTCGAAAACGGGTAAAACTTTTGTTCCGGACTAGGTGCGAAATCTAAATGGTTTCCGAGATACAGGGATTTTAATGAAATCCAAGTTTTTTTATTTCACCTTCAAACAAACAGTTTCAAAAAGGTCTAGTTCAACCTAGACAAAGCTTCAAAACTGTTGAAGCTGCAACAAAGTCTTCTTCGGTATTTTTTTTTGTCAATCAATAAACCTACATAAGAATACGTCAATGATTAGTGTCAGACTTACCATTTTGAAGTAATAGCTATTTAAAATTTTGAAAATACAAAATTTTGAATTGAAAAGCAAAGAATTTTTCCAAAAACGCTAATTTTCTCAAAAATGTCCGCTATTTTTTATGATAAAATTCAAATCTTAACTTGTAATTTTCGAAAAAAATTTTTACTAGACGTCCGAGTTGATCCCCCTCTTACTCCCTCCTACTCACTCCACCTATAAGATTCTTTTTCTTCAAAAAACTCCAAAAAATCACCCCTCGGAATCTTAGACACTTATACCGGACCACCCTGTACAAAATATATTTCTCTTATATTTATGTAAATGAAAAACAATTTACCTATATTATCAACACCTAAAGCATTTGCCTTAGATTCTTTAGCTTTATCCTGTTTTATACATGTTTCGCCGGCATTTTTCCACCATTTATCATATAACATTTGAATTTCACCTTTCTCTTGTAACTCAAGAATCGCTAAGGAAATTTTATCGCGCCATGGTGATCCCATTGGTGTTGCTATACCATAACCTATAAAAATAAAATTTTAATTTCGATATTGCCGTATTATTGGACCCTTTCATAGGGTCCCGTAAAATTATAATGCCCGTAAAACATTTATTCTCTATTTATATACATGTAAAAAATTTTTTTACCTTTAGTATCCAAAAGTCCACCGATTTGTGTTAAATTACAAGCTCTTTGTACGATATAGTCAAGCATTGTTGACTCCATTAAGAATGCATAATTTCCCTCTAAAACACGTTTGATACCTTCTTCATATGTAGTTGTAAATACTGATGGTTTTTTATTTTCCATAAATCTCCACATTTTTTTATAAGTCTCTATCATTGAGTCCTTATTGAAAATTAAAAATAAATTGAATTTTAAAAATTTTCTGAAAAAAAAAAAATTTTAAGAGTTTAGGGTTAACCCGAAAAACTAATTAACCTGTTCATGTTGTGCTTAAACTATTTTCTATTGAAAACTTTGTGGTTTCTGAAAGCATTAAATTCGAACTTTACAATTTGGTTTTCATTTTCGAAAATGAAAATTTTCCTAGGATATTTTTGCATGATTTAAGAAAAAAATCTGAAGTGATCAACATATAACCGACCGCAATGTGTAATGCCTAGTTTAATCAAAGTGTTACAGAAGATTATGGAAATGCACTTTAAACACTTTTTTAGAATTTTAAGAACATTAGTAAGCTTTTAGTTAACATACCTAGAAAAGTGTAAATTTGGCTCTTAATAGAATTTCGTTTTGTGCCATCCGAATTCTCTGAGAAGGTGACCAGTTAGTTTCGGGAACAACCAGAACTCAAATATCAAATTTCCAAAAAAAAAGAAATTCCATCCATCAGTAGATATGGTAAAAAATGTAAAATCGGCCCATGATCAGTTTCTGAGCCCTGATCTTTTCAAAAAATTTATAGATTCATTATTTTAACACTTCGAATTTAGATATTAAATTTCGCGGAAATTGGTGAATCATTTCTCTTTATATACGCAAAATGTAAAATTAGCCCGATCCAGTTCCAAATGTAGGTCCAGTTCCCGAGGTCTGATATATCGCAAGAGTTGATCAGTTCGTGCCATAGCCAAAAAAACTCACAAATAAAATTTCGTCAAAATTGGTTCAGTCTAACTTGAGATACACGCGTGCAGACACAGACCGACAAACCGACATCTCCTTAAAAGTACTTTATTTAGACTTCCCCACTACAAGGAAGTGCGTTTCCAGCAAAAACTCGACATCCAAAATTTAAGCCCATGACATAACCTCCCTAATTGTATACAATGCGGTCGGTAAAGAAAAGACTAGCACTCGAACGTGCTAATTTCGTGCAACAACGATTTACCATCACAATTGGTTTTCCTTTGCAAATTTTGAAGTTTTTTTCATGCTTTGTATTGAAATCATTAAGAACATGCTTTTTATTAAAATCGAAATTAGAATAATTGAATTATCCCACTATAAAAATTTTCGAATTTATCAGTCTTAAACTAGTACTAATCTTCAACCTGAGACTTCTTCCTGAGCGGACCTGGAATTCAAAATCCTGACTTATAAGTCATTTTTTATAAAAAAATGATTTAAAAACAAATGTGTGAAATGATTTAAAAAAAATGACTAGAAAACAAAAGTTTAAAGTAACATAATATAAACATAACATAAAAGTTTAAATTTTTAACATAATATAGAGTAAATTTACTGAAACTTTTTAGCAGTTAGTTGGTAACAGTTAGTTATGCTTTAGAAATGAATTCAGTGCTTTTAATATTGGTAACACTTTCTCAACATTAATTGCAATATGTTTTCGTTTCAGTGTATGTACATATAGATGTATATTATTTTTTTTTTGCAATATTTACCCGAAAAAATGTCATTGTTGAGCCACTTTCTAATGTACCATATGATATTTCTGTTTGACTGGCTAAATCTTCTGCATTTTCAATTGGTGTTGCCATACGTTCGACAGTTAAAAATGCTGCTAAATTTGCTGTATACGACGATACAATAATTAATGTAAAAAACCACCATATTGCACTTACAATACGTGTTGATGTTGCTTTTGGATTTAAATCAGATCCCTGTTGCATTAATGTACCAACAGAAAACCAAAAACTATTTGCAATTGTAAATTGATTCTCAATAATTTCATTTTCTGTATCACATGGATGTGGATTATTCCATTCGTATGGTGAGAATCTTGCAACAATATACATTGTTAATGATACTAATATATATGCAGCTAAAACATATAACCATATTTCAATAGCTAATGGATTCATAAATGAAAATAAACGTGTTGGTGGTGATGTTGGAACTTTAAACAATATACTTATACCCAAATTCATAAATGGTTTTGTAAAATCTATTACACTTTCTCTTGCATATGTTATTGTCATTGATCCAACAGCTAAATCAGCTTTCTTTAATATATATTTAAAAATTTGTATATTAGAAAAAAAAAACCTGATGTGATCAGCACATAACCGACCGCAATGTATATTATATAGATTAGCAAAAGTTTTCCCGAAGATTATGAAAATGCGTTTTAAGCACTCCTTTAAGAACACTAATAACGTTGTAGTTACCATACCTAGAAAAATGTGAATTTGGGTCTTAGTAGATTTTCATTTTGTGCTTTCCGAATTATAAGAAACATTCGTCAGTAACTTCTGGTAACAACCAGAGCTCAAATATTAAATTTCAGGAAATTCCATCAATTCGTTCTGTAGATATGGTAAAAAATGTAAAATCCGCCCCCCGATCAGTTTCGGAGCCCTGATCTTTCCAAAAAATTTATAAATTTATTGTTTTAACACCTCGAATTAAAATATTAAATTTCAATGAAACCAGTTGATTATTTTCAAAAGTTAGGAAGTTTCGCGTAAGGTCGAATGAAGCTCATATGTGAAATTTCAAGTAAATCTGTGGAATATTTTCTTTAAAATGATCAAAAATGTAAAACAGGCCCGTTAAAAAATTCTCGAGATATATCCCAAAAGTTAATCAATCCGTGCCATAGTCGAAATAAACTTACATATAAAATTTCATCAAAATCGGTTCAGCCGAACATGAGATACACGCGTGCACACACAGACCGACATACCGACAGGTTTCTGAAAATAGTTTATTTACACTACCATGGAGAACCGCGTTCCCACAGAAAACTCGATATGAAAAATTGGTTGGCATCATATAACCTCCCTTATTGTATGCAATGCAGTCGGTTAAAATTATTATTAACAAGAAAAATTAAAGTACATCCTGATATCAGAACTATAGTAGAAAAAATCTTATAAAATTTAATATTCTATTGAATAGTGCTTTTTGTTCCCTGACCTCGTAAATTGAAATAATATGCGCGGCATTATTCAACTTACCATAAAATTCAGATAACGAATTATATAAGAATTCACGAATTGTATTACTAAAATCCTGATATGAGGGTGTTATAAATATTAAAAAATTATGAAAATCGATTTATATCACTACAGTATAACATTTAATAGCTGAATAAATGAAAAATTAAAGGAAAGTTTTATATAAAAATTTTGTTCAACTTATAACATTAAATTACATGCTTCATTAATTGAGCAACCATTCCATTCCATTCTCCTGTTATCGGATGTTTTGCACCATATTTTCGATCTGGTACCAAATCCAATATATAATCGAAACCAACTTCCTGTGCAACACGATGTAATATGTCCACACAAAATCCAAAAAATCGTTCATTTCCAGTAAAATTTTTACCATAATGCATCATAACATATGGTGTCTCCTAAATAAAAAAAAGATCAAAAGTTAAGACTTAACAGCAAATTTCTGAATTTAAACTTAATTGCGTTTTAATTTAAAGGATTATAAAATCCATTCTGTGCATTATGTATTATGTGAATTCATAAATAGGAAAGAAAACGTGTGCTCATTTTTCTGTAAAAACTATCTCAACTCTATTAAATTCTCAACTAATAAAAGGGGTTATAAATAGAAAATGATTTATAAGTTTATAATGCTTTTACTAAAAACGAGCACTTGTTTTCGTCTCTATTTGTGATAATATAAATTTTGCACAAAATGAACTTATACGTCTTTCTTCACCCACGGATAAAAAAAAAATTACCAATATTGTTATTACAACCAATGTTACATTCATTGTGCCAGAATCATAAAATATTGAACGATCTGTAATATTTAAACCTGATTGGGGCGACCATTCACCAACTTTAATGATTGAATGTTGCCTTAATTTAACTAAATCTAATTTAAATTGTATTCTTCTGCCTTCCTTAAATTGTATTGGACCAGTAAGACCTTTCCATTCAACCTATATATATATAATAATTTTTTTTATAATTGAATTTAAATTAATAATTCTTACACACACACAAACACCCACTAATATTTTATTATATGATATACTTACAGCATTTATATAATTGATTAGACTAAGGCCACCATCCCATGGATTTTCATTTTCACAACTTATATTTGGTAATTGTAATGTATGCGATTGTTCTAAAGTTTGTAAACCAATTGCAAATATATAAACTGAATCAAACATTAAAGCTGGTTCAGTCTAAAGCAGTGAATTAAAGAAAAAAACTAATAAAAAGTCAAATTAAATTTAACATTAGCATTATCTATTATAATAATAGCCCAGTGTTGTATATTAGTTTGTTTGTCGGTCGGTGATGACATTTTTGAAAGTCTCTAATATGAAAACGGCTTGACGCAGCAAGCTGAGATCTGCACCTTTAGACGCAGCTCTTTGAGTGATTTTTTGAGTGATTTGTTGAGTGACATTTTTGAGAGATTTTTTGAGTGATTTTTTAGGGCCTTTTTCAATGGAATTTTTTAAGTGACTATTTGTGTCACTTTCTCAAGTGATTTTTTGAGTGATTTTCTTGACGATGCCTTTTTGATAATGTTCTCATGGTAGAAGAAGAGTTTTGTTCAAGGGTTTTTTTAGTAATTTTTTAAGTGATTATTTTAAGTAATTTTTTGGATTGATTTTCCTGATGTTGATTTTTTGGTAGTTGTTCTAATAAAAATTTGATTTTTTTTTACACTATCAAAAAAAAATTAATAAATAAAAATATAAAAAAACATAACAACCAAGTTTTATAATACAACGCAGTGCCAATTTACATTTGTTTTCTTGGGTCGCTGATCACCAATTTTTTTTTGTGGCTTTAAACCGCTTTTGAAAAAAGTAATCAAGCCAACTTCCTTACAAAGATTTGTGTTCTCAAAGTGGAAACACGGTGGTGATTTACTAATCGAAACAAATCCAAGGCTGCAACTTCGAAATCTACCTATATTATAATTAGCAATATCCCCGTATAACAGTGTTACAATGTACTAAAAAATCACTTAAAAAATCACTTAAAAAATACTAAAAAAATGGCTCAAAAAAAATTATTAACAAATAGCACTACATAAGCGTTTCCATCGAACGAAGAAGGGGATTGATGAGCAAAGGGGGGGGGTAAATGACACCTTCACGACGGGGCTTTACTAGTTATAATATAATAGACTGACTAAGACAATAAAATTTTATGAATTTGACTTCAATATTACAGTATTGCAGTAATACTATAAAAAAATTCAGCGATTAAAATCCAGCGAGCTTAATTGTGTATTAATTCTGTATTAATGCATTTTAGAAATTATTGAATATTTATTATGTAGATTTAGTTATAAAAAATGCATTTATTTCTGATTATTTTACCTGTATTGCTCTTGGTTTTTTAATGCCGTTATTATTAAAATTAAAATTCTTCTCAACTGTTATCGAATAATTATTTGAAAGTTGTCTATTTAAATAATTCTTCTGATATAATTGCATATTTTTTAAAATTTCTTTAACACCAACATCACCAATATCAACTAAACGAAATGCTGTTATATTAACAAAATTATATTTAAAATCCTCTAAATCAAACGTTTCTAAATCAAAACTGGTAAATAAATAATGATATTTATATTCATTCATTTGCAATTGAAGAATCTATAAAAAAGGAATAAACAAAGTATAAATTGCAAAACTTAAATATGAAAAAATATAATAAAAACTTCTTATATCGCTGACTTCAAAATTGAAATAACATAGCGTTTCTACATAATTCAGTAATTAAAATATTTAAGCTGAATTGCACAGAATATCAAGTAGAAGCAGCTGAATTTGTATTAAACGCCACTTAAAAGCTTAGCTTACCCCTTTTAATAATAAGGAAATGTTATCGGGTTTTGTATCAATTACTAAATTATGAATTTCTTTATTTTTTAATTCATTTAAAATTTGTATATATGATGTAGCATCAACTTGTCGTATATGAACTTCTAATCCAGGCATTTTTACCAATTCTCTAAGTTGTATTATACCTGTAAATATTTTATAATTACTTAATTATATGAATAAATGTAGTAAAAAAAATCCCTTAATTTAAGACTTCAATTACCATGACATCGGAATTGTAGTAATTGAAACACAATTCAGCAATTGGAATTTATAAGCTGAATTAAATGTTATTACAGCAATTTTACAATTCCGAACTCAGGGATAATTTAAAACAGGTCATATAAATTATGATTATTGCTGAATTGTATAACAATAAAATACTCACCATAATTTTTTTCGCATAAAATCCCTAATTTTGTCCAATTTAAGTATTTTATAACATCTTGAAATGCATAATTAACATATTCTTGTGCTGGATGTAAATTTATTGAAAATTCTTTTATTTCATTATTTTCATTTATACGTGTTTCTAAATGTGGTATATCAGTTGCATCGCATATTGAATGTATATGAGATCCTAATATAGGATCTGTAGGTCCAAATACTGCCTGAACACCCATTTTTATTTGAGAACAAACTATATAAACCAAAATAAAGTAAAATAAATTAAAATAAATTAAAATAAAATATTCAAAACAAATATCATTTCTGACTTCGAAATTTTAATTTTAATATAAAATACACAATTTTAATAAAAGTTATGAATTGTAATTGCTGAATTTTGTAGTTAGATATTATCATTACATTTTTAAGGTTATATATAATGTTAATATATAATTTAAATAATAATATAATTAATATTTTTAATGATATTTTAATCATTTTTTTAATAGTTTAAATTTAAATTAATATTTTAGATTTATATGAAAATAATTTGTTATGGACGGCAAATATGCAATTGTAAAATAATTTATATCGTTTATTTAAAAATTTATATCGTAATTCAAAAAAATTTTTTATTCTCACAACTCAGCATTTATAAATGATGGTTTGAAAAGGGCATTACAAGATGTTACACAAACATATATATAAATATATATACTTACATATACAAATACTAACCTTTTTTTGTTGCGTGAAATGAATCATCTTTTTTAACATATTGAATATTAAAAATTAATTTTGTTTCCGGTAAAATCCCTTTGTTTTCGTTTATACTATGTACAGCATATTTAAATGCAAATTCAGTGGGACCATTTTTTTGATTTTCATCAAAAATAGCACCTTTATAAAATGAAAATTAAAGGAAAAAGGAATGAATCATTTACTTACAAAATACAACAAAAATTTAAATAAAGATGTGTGCAATATACAATTGACTCATGACGTTGAAATATCAATTAAACCGATATTTAGTCATCATAATAGTCTCATATAGTCTCATTCTACTAAACGCTACACACATAAAAATGTCTGAGGTGACAGATTTGTTATTATACTAGACACGCGTCTTACTATTTGTTACAAAAAGCGTCAATAATGTTATTCTACTTGACGCATTTTTGAAAATTGTGACGTTATTTTTTTTTTTTTGTTACATTTAGTCCCGTATATTTTGTTGTTGTCAGAGATATAAAAGTTGCTGAATAATAAACTTTAAAGAAAATGGAGAAGATGTAAGTATTATTCGATATTTAGATATTAATATTGAGTAATTTTATTGATTCCACTGTAAAAGTAGCCAATCGACAGCAATTTCAAATCTTAATCGAGTTAATAAAAATTTTTTTTTTATTTTCTTAATTCTCTTCATCACTTTTACCTCTGCTTTTACCCAAAAACCAAATAATGTTCAAAAACATCATTCTTTCTGTAATTTAAGTATTTGTTATTTATACGTTTTTCGGTCACAAATTTATTTAAAAAGAATTTTATAACTTCTTAACATAAAAAGATTTTTAGGCTCGCTTCTTTTCGCAAAAAAAATGCAAATTGTCACGTATAGTAGAATAAGGCTGAATAAATAATGTATACTAAGCAATAATTGCTATTTGTAAAAAAAACCTTGATCTTTATCGAAATAGGATCTTGCTGACTTCAAAAATTGTATAGAAATAATTCAATTATAACACAAATCAACAGTTATAACTCCTTAGCTAAGTTATGAGTACAAATATCGGATTACATATAACAAAGAATAAGGTGTACAATATTATAGATATTGAGCCTTATCCTAGTTGTCGCGTCACTTAGGTGACATTCATCGTTGTCGCTGTCACATCATTTGAAATGTGGTATTCTGATTGTCGAGTGACGTGAGTGCGAGAAATAATCGAAAATGAAACGTTTCAAGTAAAATTGATAGATTTTAAAAATAAATTTTGGCGAGTGAAGTTCAAACTAAAAAAAATTTCAGTATATATAAATTTTTAAATAATAAAAAATGTCATTTGCATTATAGTTTATGGATTCATCTAATTCCGATAGTGATGAAATTAAAAAAAAACAACAATTAAGGATCAAAAGATTTTAGATTAGCGACAGCTCTAATCCATTGGATTTGCCAAATGTAGTGTAAGCCAATACAATAAATTTTTCAAGTAAGTTAGTCACAAACATTTTATTTTATTCACAGATTTATAAACTATTACAAACTTCCGAAGGAGGTCTTTGTATATTTACTGAATATATTCGAGAGAAAAACGAGTACCCGTAAATTTTTGTCATGAAATTTCCAATTCTTCAAATTTATAAATACTTTCACGTTAAAAACAAAAATTAAATTATATATTTTATGATTTAATTTATGTATAAAATTAATTTTTTTTTATGATTTTGTTAAATTGTTTTGTTTTAACTTGCATTTTTGGTGTATCCTTCTTGCTTGTCACTTGTTAAATACTTTTCCACAAAAAAGGTCGTTTCACTGCGACATATCTCGAATCAGAACGACAACTGAAATATGGCTGAAACACATTTTCCCGCTATTCCCCGACAAGTGTCACTGCGATCGCCGATTAGAATATCAAATTCAAGTCTTAACGACAAATGTCGCTCTACTTCGACAACTAGAATAAGGCTCATTGTATAATATTATAGACAACTCTAAAACAAAAGTTCATTAACTTCTTTATACTAAAATGCAGATCTAATAATAATTTGGTTTATTTTAACAATCAAAACTGCATGGTCTATATATTTGACCACGCTATCCTATTTGAATTTGATATTATGTACAGGCATATATTCAAAGTCTCTACAACAATCTCTAGCAGTTTCTCGTATATTTTCGAAACTCATACATTTTTTTGCTGAGGTATACCCTTATTTTTCGCTAAAATTTGAAAATCATATATTTTGCCACCCGAAAAATAGAATGCCATACATCCAAACAATAGAATTTTAGGAAATCGCAATTCAAGTTTGCATTGGGATATTGTAAAACCGAGGCAAAAAGCTATTAATTATTCTAAATTTATAAATGGTTTTACTAGCTTTTTTCAAAAAAAACAAGCTTATAAACCTTAAATTTTATTTGCCTCGGCTGAAGGATTTAAGAGTTATTTGAGATTGTTTATTTCACTATTGATATTATTATATTCGTTAATAATTTTAATGAAACACAGTTTGATTTTTCAAAAACAAAAAATTCACACAAAAAAAATATATATAATTATTTTAACTCTTTTTACTAAGATTGGCTTATGGCGAATCTTAAAACTAAAGAAAATTTATTTTTAAAAAACTAGTTCCAAATTTTATAATTTTACATATTTCTTATAAGTAGTAATATTTTATAAGAAAAAAAAGAAGAAACAAAAAAGGTTCTAATATCGTCTAGTTGTTTTTAAGTTGTTTCCAAATCTTTCAAGTCTCTTCCAGTCTTTTGCGCTTAAAAACAAAAATTAATTTACAAGAAAAAAAGTTATTAAAAATTTAGTTTTCGTTACTAAAATCTGTAATTAAATATAATTTTACTTTATTTGGTCAAAACCGTGTGAAGTGATCTTAAAGTAAAATAATAAGTAAAAAAATCTGATGTGATCAGCACATAACCAATAATAACACTAATAAGCTTTTAGTTAACATACCTAGAAAAATGTAAATTTGGCTCTTACTAGAGTTTCATTTTGTACCGTCCGAATTATAAGAAAAGCTCGTCAGTACCTTGTGGTAACAACCAGAGCTCAAATATTAAATTTCAAGAACTTCCCTCAATCGGCTCCCAGATCAGTTTCCGACCTCTGATTTTTTGAAAAAACTAAACAACCAATATAGATTCATTGTTTTAACAACTCGAATTTAAATATTAAATTTCAATTGAATCGGTTAATTATTTATATACGCAAAAATGTTTATTTGGCCCGTAGTAAACGTCTAGTTACTGACACCTGATTTCTTCCAAAAGTTAGGAGGTTTCGCGTATGGTCGAATGAATCTTATATATGAAATTTCAATCTGTTGAATATTTTCTTGAAAATTATCAAAAATGTAAAACAGGCCCATCAAGAGGTCCAGTTTCCCAGTTTGCATATTTCATCAAAATCGGTTCAGCCGAACTTGAGATACACGCGTGCACACAAAGACCGACAGACCGAAAGGTTGCTAAAAATAGTTCAGTATTCCCTGCCATAGAGAAATGCGTTCCCCCCGAAAACTCGACATCCAAAATTTGGTGCCATCACATAACTTACTTTATCGTATACACAACGCGATTGGTAAAAAATATAAAAATTAAAATTTTGAGCTTAAACTTGTTATGGGAAAATTAGAATAAAATAAAATTATCTGCCTTTAACTCGTTCCTTTGATTACGTCATCCATCTGTTCTGCAGTTGCATGAAGAAATTTCCATTGAAGTCCATATTAGAATAATCCCACCATTCTGAACTTTAATTATTGATTAAATTGAACTCTGATTAATGAACTCTTTACATCTCTTTACTCTGCCTCCTGAACTATAGGTTGTATTAGTTATTTACATAATATTTGTTATTTACATAATTTATAAAGTTATTTACATAATTTTGTAAGACAATAATATGCAAGTTATAAATAACTACGCAACTTTGTTTGAAAAACTCCTAAGGATTATGTTCTAGGACACAAAAATATTTAAAATTACGGATCTTGACTTTCTCTACAAAAAGAAAAAAATTAAATAATTAAAAAGAAACTTGCGTCATCTTTCTAAAATAAATATTCTGAAGAATAATAATATTAAAATAAAGTTGGGTCAAACCAATGGTTTGTATTGTAGCACTTTTCCCTTCAACAAGTGAAACTACTGCTTTTAATTACAGTTTATGTACACCTACCATACTATTAAAATTATTTTCATTCATATACGAAGCTATTTCTAGGATTGCATATATTTGGGATGAACGATTTATGCAGTCTTTGAAATAAAGAAAAAATAAATTTAAAGGGTTAATAATACAATGCTCGATTTTAAGGTTTAATTGTGTGAGTAAAAAAAAGTAATTATGTTTGGACTATCAATCTCATTGTGTTTGGATGTTCGATATGGCCTCGATTCTGGCGAAAACCTGCCCGTTCTTCTCTAAGATATTTTTCTAACTTTTATACAATTCGGGCATGTATTATTAGGGCAATTATTTTTATTACACTATTTAGCACTGTTATTCCTCTCCGATTTTGGCATTCTGATAAGTCTTCGTTTTTATGTAGTTTGATTATGACCCCCTTTTCCTATTCTTTGAAGATCTCTTCGTTTTGCCATATTTCCTCTATTATTGGCCTCAGTGCATTGGCAGCAACATTGATTTCACCACTGGTATGCCATCAAAACCTTCGCTTTATTAGCTTCTACTTTCTAATTGCATCAACTGTTTCTCTGTTGGTTAGTGTACCCCCTTTGGTAGTCGTGTCTTCTCTGGTATTAGGTTTTTGGTCTTCTAAATCTGTATATTGGGCATGTTTTTTGGTTTCTGCGAAAAGTTCTTTCCATCAATTTAACTAGTCTCGGGTTAATGCGAACAAATTACCATTCTTATTCTTTATTGGTCTCATTTTCCGGTAGATCCTATTTAAGAGAATCTATCTATGAAGATATCTTCATAAATTGTATCGACTCTGTTCAAATATTCAGAAGAAAAATATATTTTAAAAGGCAGTTTTACTTATTTCTCATTTACTTGAAGCGAAAGGAGTAAAAATGAGAGTGCGGGAAAGGGATAGGAAAACAAGTAGAGTGGTTTGTTTTATTATAAGTTAAAATAAGCTTTTTAAAATTTCATAAAAGATTCCTGTAATCGTTTCTATGCTCATGGTTTTTTGGAACATTTTTCCTTTTTTAAGAGTAGTTGTTTTATTCTTTATGAGTACTTTGTTTTTTTTATGTTGCTTTGAGAGCTACTATTGAAATTTAAGAAAATTTTCTATTCAATTTTTTTCTTTGACCTTCAACTTTAAGATATTGGAAATTTGGTTTTCTTAAAATTAGGTAAATGATTTTTAGATATTACTTGAAATGAGGGCATTTTGAAAAGGAAAATATCGAAATTCTTTTTTTATTATTTTTGAATCTTTCTATGAAGCAGTCGAGCGTTATTTTATTCTGCAGCTATTTGAGCTTCTCTTGTAACGTTATTAAAAAACCTTTTCTTGTTAATTCTTGCCATTTTTTTTTATTCTTCTACATATATAGACATGTGGGTCTCTCAAATTCAGATCATGGATTGTTAGTAGCTGTTGTCTTATGTTCTTTCTTTCTTTGTTCTAGTGCAGCTAAATCCCATGTTTCATCAGGGATCCACTGCTTCCTCTTATGTCTAATAGTCCCCAAGACTTTTTCACCTTCTTCTTGACGATATATGTCGTGTGTCTGCTTTTGATTTCGATTCTGACATCTGCTCAGTTTTTGCTGCAGGTTTGATACGAATTCGTGCTGTGTACCTTCTGTTTTTAGCTTGCAAACGTCAAGCCGCTTCAATCAGCTGCCAGTTTGATTTTTATGTCTGCAGTTGGGTGGCATGTCACTCTGAACATCTACCCCCCTCCAAGTTCTTACGTCCATTACTTTTATCCATCTCTAATCAACACATATGCGGTCTATTTAGATTTTGTCCTGCCATCCGGAGATACCTGCCTATAGGATGAACCGCCTATTACTAAACCGTGTTGTTCTGATAAATCTTTTAATCTTTCTTCGTTATTGTTTTGTGTAGTGGCCAAGTCTAATTGATATTGCTCTGCGGAAATTTGAAACTGCCAAGCAATATTAACATAATAATATTTAAAAAATTACAATTTTTCTTATATGTTTTTAATAATATTAATATAAAATTAATAGAGGTATCTATGTATTCGAAAAGTTATTCACATTTACAGCAATTTTGTAAATTTACCATAATAACCTTGCGTTTTGTTTTTATAGGACATTTTATCTGCAAAATGAATTTCCCCTTTATTATGAATTTATTCAAATATTAATGCCAATTCGTAATGTAAGACGTCGTCTTTTATTATATCTGAACTCTCACAGAATAAATTATGGTTTTTCAGAGCTATAATATGGAGAGAATTGATTTTTATTTTTGTATAGTTAGAAGCATAGTTAGAAGTTTTTTGATTAAAAATTTTATTTTTTAATTTGTAATTTTCTTTTTTTTGAATTTGTTATACCTACGCATTTTCAGTATATCATCTCTTTTTAGAACCCTAGTGCTAACACACACCGGATATTTGGGTTTTTCTAATCGATCTTTAAGCTATTTCTTCAAGTCCAATGGGCTTCAAATTTTGCATGGAGTCCAATTACAATGCGATATTTTGTTGGTTTTTCTTTGTGGCTGGCTCGGTTCGATGAACTTCTATACAACTCCTCCCTGGCGAAAACCGATATCTTTGAATCTATTCAAGCCAAATACTTCAAATTTTAGAAAAAATTGTCGAGTCTTGTGCGCACAAACATGCTTCTGTGAAAATGAGCTTATATTGTGAGAACTTTATAAAATAAGCCATTTGTTTCTTTAAACCCTTTTTGGTGAGATTCTTCAAACACAACTTTTCATTAAATTTTTTTAACTTTGCTTTTATTGGACGTATATTCGAAATTTATTTTTTACTTTTTAGTGCTTTGGATACAAGGGTTGTTTTTTAAAAGTTTTCTTTTTATATTATTTTGTTCATTTTATTTTTAGGTTATATGTTAAATTAGAAACTATGTCAAAAAAATATTAAACATAGATTAATAATATATTACTTTGTATATATAAATACCATATACTGACTAAAAAATTATAGTTCTACTATGTATTATATACGGTATTGATACTCGTATACATACTCAATGCAACTTATAATTTTTAATTGTTGAATTGTGTATCAAATTATAAATACAATATAACTGCAATAAGGAAGTCATAGATATTATAATTTTACTATGTATATAGGAGAATTGTTTAATAACATATAGATTTCATATTCGACGTCTGTCGTTCTCCTCTTAATAACATCTTGCCCTCTTTTTCTCTCTCTCTCTCTCTCTATCTCTGTGTTGCTCTATATTCCTCTAATTATTTTTTTCATATTATTATAAATTTTTATTAATCAAAAATAATAAATTAATTATAACATTGCATTTAAAATATTATATATATATATTTGTTTTTTACAATAAAATATTCTTACCAACACGAATAAATTGTGGTAAAGAAACAACCATTATTAATTGATTTATAATTACAGTTATTTTATAAAAGTGAAATATCCATTTCATAATTGTACTATAAAATTTAATTATAAATTTTATTTAAAATTAGTAATTTTAATATTTATATTTTTTTATATTTTCAAATTTTGGTTTTTCAAAACAAAAAAAATGACCGTTACTCCCAAAATAAGAGGGAAAATTATTTAGATTTTGTGTTTTTTATGGGCTAAGAAGCTCAAATAATAATATAAGAAAGTAAATTTTTTTTTGTTTTTTGTGCGATTACAAAAACAGTGAATTATTTATTGTTTTCTTATAATTTTTTGTTTAACAAACGTCTGTATCTAATTTAATTATTGCAACAAAAACACACTATTATTAGCTTAAATTACTACCAAAAATTTTTTTAGATAGAAAGACTGTAATAAAACACTACTTATTTTGTTTGTTTTTGAGAGGATACAAAAAAATTAATACATATTTCGTTTCGTTTTATTTCCCTTTACCTTTTATAATGATTTGACTGCGAGAAGCCATAAAAATTCAAGTAATTTTTTTTTGCTTTTATTTTTTTTTTTAACTTTTATGATGACTTCAAAATTGCAATAATATTGCATTAATACGCATTATTCAGGAATTGCAATATTCAAAATGAATATCATACATGTATTAATATAGTATTGCTGAAATTTTGAAAAGAGACTTTAATAGCCATAATATAGTACAAGTGTATGTTAACTATTTGAACAAATCAAAATTTCTAAAAAGAAAATGGAAATAGAATATAAATTTCTATAATACATTTAACACTTTATATATACCTACCATATAGAAACAAAACGCAATAAAACGGTATTCATACACAATTCCGCTTATAAGTATGAATTTCTGAATTATGTATTAATATCATATTACTGCATATTGCATTTCTAAGCTTAAGACTTAACTCATCTTTAACAGCAATAAAAAACGATTCCAAAAACTGCAAAATTGCTATACTTGTAGTAAAGAAAGCTTTCTGCAATTATTGGCAGTACTCTGACAGAGTCATATGATTTTATTAAATTTAAACCGAAATAGAAAACAAAACCAACAATTTATAAATGAAAAGAAATTAGCTTTTTAAAATATTTGTAATTTTTTGGCATAAAAGCAAAGTAGTGACCAAAAATATTTGCCTCGATTCTAATATTATTTTAAATTTCTATTGCACTAAAAATAAAAGTTAAATAAATAAAAATTTAAAAACGAAAATTCATAAGTTACTCTTATAATTCTTCTCACTATTAAATAGTATACAACGTATTTGCGATAAGTTTTTTAATATCTTATACTTTGCAGTTGTAGTTTAAAAAAAAAAAACTGTCAAAACATTACAACATTTATTTTTGCAAATGATTAACAGTTCTATATATTACAGAAAATAATTGAATTATCAAAAATACCCAAACTATAAGCTGAATAGTGTATAGGGATAGTAAAATCACAATTCACGAAAATACTTATTATATAAATACTTACTTATAACACGCAGTTAAACTTATTTAACGTAATATACGGACTGAGTTCCTGAACTTTGTCAATTCGATATATAAACAAATTCAATACAAGGACTTCAATACAAAGACTTCCATTTAAAAAAAAAAAAAAAAACAGTTTTTAAGTCGTTTTTAAACCGCCTTTAAACTTGAGCTTTTAAGCTTTTTACTAGATTGCCATAAAAAATGCATAGTTTCAAAAAATAATATTGAACGTAATTTTTGACGTTATAACATTGCATGCATTATGACTTATCATTTTTAATTCATTAACATTAAAATGTATTCATTAACAGCATTCTCATTTTTAAATCTGTCGTAAAATACCACTTTGACACCGAATATTGTTCTTCAAGCAATATTGTCAGCTTCTAAGTCCTCGAGATACGACATCTTCTAATACGACTTTTCGAGTTACGACATGATATAAATTTGTATCATTTTTATTCAGCTTACGACATTGTTCCTAATACGACATTGAAAATTTAAAAAAAAAAATTGTTTTTTTGACAGATTTTACTGTTTTTTGAATAAAAATCTATACCGAATCTAGTTATAAGACAAAACTAAAGCACATACTTCAATAATGAATTCTTTTTTGTTAAAAATTCTAGTTAGTAGTTAAGATTATGAATTGAAGTGATAAAATATCAACTTAATCAGATTTTTTTTTATTTATTTTTGTTACAAAATTTGAATTTTTTTGTTATTATATTTTGTTGTTTTTTTCAAACTTTGTTACCTTTTTTAAAAAAAAAAGATCAATTATTTTATAAAACAGTTTGTCTAGTTCACTTTTTGTTTCCATACATTTTTTTCCCTCCTCAAACGACAATTCGAGTTACGACATAAATTTCTAGAACCAAAAATGTCGTATCTCGAGGACTTAGTGCATTTCGCTTTAACCTAAAAGTGCAAATTGAGCCGATATAATTATATACATAAATAACATTTTTAGCACAATGCGTTAAATTATCTATAAATATTTAACAAACAATAAAATTTTAATAAATTTTACATTCAGTGGAGCACCTCTTAAATCGCTGGAAATTTTTCAAGGCGCTCTCTGCTTTTTTCTGGGCATTCAAAACGGTTTCCAAGCAATTTGAAACTCGTTGCATTATCGAAAGCTTTCGAAATACAATATATTTTTTTTACAATATGTAATATGGAAGCCAAGAGACCTACTATGTAGTGCTATTTTTGCTAAACGATTCTAGCATTTCAAGTTTTAACACTATGTAATATCGCAAATTTCCATATACGAAAGTAGTAAAAGTGGTACTGCAGAATGCTGCTTTCGCATACTTTTCATTCATTTATGAATTATGAATCGCATACTTTGCCATCTTGTTTAGGAATCTTATTGCGAAAGTCTAAGTTTTTTAAACAATAAAACTAAACAATGTAATGTTACATTTATTTTGCTTTATTTAATAAAAAAAAAACCTTACATGTCAAAATTTTCTTCCAATTTTATTTTTATTGGACTTAACTTTTTACCTTCAGTTTGCTTCTACATAGATAAATACCCCTGGCATCGTAATTGTAATAATACTGTATTAATGCAGAATTCAGCTTATAAATTCAAATTGCTATATTGTGTATCGATGCGGTATTATTACAATTCCTTTGTCAGATTCTATATCAAGTATATTTCTATACAACTTAAATGTCAAGGATAATTATAATAAAAAAAAAATAAAACGAATAAAAAACACCCTTTACTAGAATGTGAATTATTCTCTTTTATTTGCACATTGATATGTATACATTTTCGATCCGCGCCAACGACATTTTTAACAACTAGAGATACAGATTTAATATTTATTTGATAGTTAGAACTACAAAGATTCAAAAAACTTAATGAACTATTTTAATGTACAACTTTTAAACCTTAGTGATTATCTTAATAACTCCATTTTCAAAAATATACTGTTATTACTCAACAACTAAAGTTTGTATATTTGAATAAATCAACTGAAATCATTTGATTCGCCTTTTGGTAAACATCGTTTATGCTTTTTGTCAAGCTCATTCTTAAATTTTTTTTAAAATTAAAAAATCCCTTAATCGAAATTCATAGTCACGTAGACATTTTAGAAATCGTAACTCCCTTATAAACTTTAATTAAAGCATTATAACGATATGCTTTAATTATAACTAATTTATATGCTGAAAAGGATAACCAACAACAATGTAATAGTATAATGCAATTGAAAAAACTTGTTCATGTAAAAACTACATTTTTTGTGAAAACTTTGTTTATTTCTTAATTACTATACAATTAATATTAAGTTTTACAATATATAAAAAAAAATTATATAGAAAAAATTTATTTATGCAAAAGTGCATATCAAAGTGTAAAATAAAAAATTTGTATTATAAGTTATTTACATGCAAATATAAAAAAAAAAAAAAATGCTTTATGGACGAAATTCAATTACTGATAAGGAATGTTTTTTCAAATTACCTTAATTTTTTTGATTATATAAGAAGTATTCTTTTTCATTACATTTTTCAATCTTATCGTTTACCGAAATTGAGCACTTGATTAGGTACTTATATATAACGTATCTATATATATATATATTTATTTATAAAATGTATCTACATATTTTAAAGGAAAAAATTAATACCATCTTTTGTATAAGTTAAAATATAAAAAAATATTCGAGAACGAATCTTTGAACTTCAAAATGTCAATAATCTGGTATTAATAAACAATTCAGTTTATAAGTTAAAACTGCTGAATTGGTTAAAAAAATTGTATTACTTCAATTTTGAAGTCACGGAATTTTATAAAACTAAATTTAAGTAAAAAAAAACAAATCCATCTCAAATCGTATGATCAGTTTTACAAAAAAAATACATGTCTCTTACGAGTATAAAAATAAATTATACCAATTCAGCTTACAAATTTTAATTGCTATATAAAATATTATTGAAATTTATGTAACAGAAAAGTTAGTTTTCCCTAGATGTATGGTGATGATATATACAATATATGTACTTTAGATAAAAAATAAAATTATATTTTTAAAAAAATCGTATTGGCATTTTAAAAATCTGTTTTTTAATAAAATCTAAGACTTTTATTTTGGTTTTATAGAAATATTAAATATTAATTTTTAATAATGGAACGTATATAATGCATTATATACTTATTATATGTGTTCTTCACTTCCAAAATGCAGTAATATCGTATTAATACACAATTCAGCAATTCATACTCATAAGCTGGATTGTGTATTAATGCCGTATAACTACAATTGGGGAAGTCAAGTATATATATTGCTATAATGTGGTCAATTAAGTGATAAATAAAAATCCAGTTTACAAATTAACTAACTATTGTGCTTGACTTCATAATTGCAGTAATATACGGTATAAATACGATACATAATTTAGCAATTAGAACTCATAAGCTGATTTCTTTTATAAATACATTATTACTGCAATTTTAAAGCCAGGGTATATCAAAATTTTCTCATATATATTATTTTGAATAATATTGATTACATACAAGTATATTATTTTTGTGTTTTAGCTTAATGTATACATGACTCATACATATTTTCTTTTGGCTTTTTTCTTTAATTTTGAATCAACATTTCATATTTTATATTTTTGCACATAATGTACACACATTATTTAAAAAAACAAAAACATACTATAAAAACATACATACGAGTACATTATTTAAAAAAAAAAAACAAAAACATACTATAAAACTAAAATAAAATTGAATTCTTAAGACTTAAAATTTATTAATCATTCACTTTTATGCACAATTCTGTAACATAAAACCTTGTTTATTCAAATTGCAATAATACGGTATCAATACATACTTCAGTTTGTGAACTGTTAATTGCTGAATTATATAGCAACACACCTTGACTTCGAAAATTCAGTAATATGGTATTAATACATAATCCATATTTCATATTTATAAGCAGGATTCTGTGTTAATAAAATATTACTGCATTTTGAAAGCAAAAGATAGTTTTGCTGCTTTTTGAACTTGTATTTGTTGTCTCTAGATTCTGTATTTTAAGCTATATTGCGTATTATTGTAATTCAAATTCAAGGGATATAATATAAACTGAATTATTCAATTCAGAAAATTTTCAGAACGAAATTTAAAAATTTCAAATTAATAATCAAATTATTTTCTTCGACAATACGAGTAATCAAATTTTATTTGTGCTTGTAATAAAAAAATTAATTAATAAAATTTCTACAAAAATTCACCAACTTAAGCATACGTAAGCTGTAATGTATATAGCTGAATACGAAATGATTAAAATTTATAGATCTTACGTTGATTATCGATTTACATTTTTTAAATAATCGTTTTATATATGATATATTGTCGCAAATATATACTGAAATTTTGAAAAAAAAAAAAATCAAAGTTTTTAATAAGATTACTACACGCAAAATACATTAAAGCAAATAAAGTCAACTTGACCGCTATTCAGCAAATAAAATCGTATTGCTTAATAAGACAAATTTATTGTACATCCTGAATTTTGATGACGTAGAAATACGTCACAGTACTAACTATATTGTAAATTATTTTTTGATAACATAAATTGTATTATTTTTACTGCATACAAGGCTTGTTACAATAAGAGCAAAATTAAGGCAAATAATCGCGCATTAACTTCAAAATTTCAGTAATACACTACAGTTATTAAAGAATATTTGCAATTTACAAATTTATAACTACTAAATTCTTTAGTAATTTAATTACGCAATACAATTATTAATCTAGGGTTCTCTATCAGAAAACACTGATTGAAAAATTTAGATCAATGATATCTACATTTTTGACAAAAATGCAGTATTACTTAAAATTTTAAGCTCTTTCTAATGCAAGATAATTTGATAATTTGATTAACAAATTTATTTTGGCAAAGAAAATTTGACAAATTCAAAAAAAATTTTGAATTCTGACAAAATTAGATATCAAAAGTTACAGCATTTCTCGAGATCATAAAATTTTTTAAGAAAGCATTGAAATATAGATATGTCATGTTATATACTTTTGAAATTAAAATGTGTTCTAGTTTTTTTTACAGTTTCGTTTCAAGTTGAAAATGAAACATTGCACATATTCATTTCTACATTTCATATTTAAATGTTTATGTTGGTTATTTTCATATAAGTGAAACGCACGTTTAAAAACTAGATAAATAAATTTATTCAGTTCTAATTGATACTTATTGCAAATGGAAAAAGTGTATATATTATTTAATATAGAAAAATATGTTAAAATTTTACTACTATGTAATATTTATTCGCAACATTTTAAAAAGCTAACTTTTTAAACGATCTTCATTTAATTTTCACTTGTTAATATTTTAGTAAAATTTCACTGGTGTTTTACTCGAAATTGCAAAAATGTAGATATCATGTTCTGACACAAAACCCTAGAATTTTGAGATTACGAAATATTTTTACACCTTAAAAATATTATTTTTCATTCGAGCCAAAATTGTGTTATATACTATATGATTTAGGTAATTTAATTAAATTATAAATTTTACAATAATATAAAAACAATAATCTTATATATATTCAAAAATATAAAAGTTTGAAGAAAAGGTCATTTTTCTTTTCTTCAATTAAATCACTATACACATCATCGAAAAATTGTATAAAATTAATATATTGATTTCTACGTATAATTTAGCAAAATATGTACAGGGTGGTCCGGAACTGGTATTGAGTTCTCGGGATGTGAATCTTTAAGAGTTTTTATAGTAAAAAAATTGTTATAATTGGTATATCTAGATACGAGTATGTATCAGAATGAAAAAATTCTATATCTATATTTTTACTTTTACTTTTTCAAATCTAGAAAATCTTTTTTATTTTTGTCAATATTTTCATGTCGAACGTGCCTTTTTCCATGTAAAGGACCCTGACATCGGATTTTAATAATACCATATCGATAAGCAATTCAGCAATTGGCATTTATAAGCTTAATTCTGCTTTAATATACTATTATTACAGTTCCGATCTCAAGGAGAATATTGTTTTTTATTTCTTTAATATTTTTATTATAAAATTGCCGTCTTCACTTATGTTTTTCTTTCAAACAGTAGTTTTCTTTTTACATAAATTTTGTTTTAAGAAAAATGTTTTACTTTAAAAACTCGAAGGAATCACCCACACCTGTATAGTTTTAAGCTGAAATTTTATAGAAACAAATTTTAGATTCATAATTTTTACATGGTATTGTTTTGTATTGTAAACATATATATATATATATATATATGTGTGTATAAGTGATATATATAATTATAATAAATGAATTAATTTGAAAAATTCGTTCTATGAATATAAAATATCACCATTAATCCATATAAAATTGTTTTATTAAAAATAACCTTTGCAGTTGAACTTGATGTTGTTTTTCCTATAATAATATAATTAAATATTTTGAATAAATAAAAATATATTGAACAATAATTCTAACTTAAAAATTACAATAATATTAAATTAATACACAATTCAGCTTATATGAACTCCATTTTTAATGGAAATATAAACTGAATATAATTGCAGTTTAGAACAAAGATATATACATATATTAAACATGCATATTCCTTGACTTCTAAATTGCGGTAATACGATATTAATACATAATTCATAAATTCAAATTTTACAAGCTGAATTAAGTATTAATACCGTATTATTGCATTTTCGAAATCAAGGATACTATTTTAATTAAATAAAAAATTTAAATAAAAAATTTAAAAAAAATTGTTATATTCAACAAGAAAAAAAATTGGTTTTGCTTTTTTTCTGCATAAAATACAAAAAATTGCAGTAACCCCCAACGCTATAATTTTTAATATTCATGATTATATAAATAAACCAATTAACCCCGATTTCAAAACTCTAATAACAAACACATTTTGTTAATCCATTCATCAAAAAAACTTCGAAAGCTGAATTGGATATATAAATACCGCATTGCTGCAATTTTGAAACAAAGGAAGCCTTTCAAACCAGTATTCAAATGATTGACCCATTGCCTTTATTTATATGTATGGGAAAATATATGCAGAAAAATGTTAGAATCCCATAGAAATTAACTTTTAAGCGCACAGAAAACAAAAACTAAAATACTTACATAAAATACCCTTAATTACTATAATATTATGAAGTTTCTAATGTAATTTCAATAAATGAAGGGTATCACCATTAAAAAAAAGTTTTTTATACCCTCAAAAATCGTTAGATTAATTATGATAAATTCAAGTACTTATATCTTTGAATACAGAACAGCTGAGTTGGCAAAAATGCAAAATAAATACCGCAACATATTTACAATTTAAAATTACAATAAAACTTAATTGACGCCAGTTAGTTTCGGTAATAACCACAACTCAAATATCAAATTTCAAGAAACTCCATCAATTCTTTCTGTAGATGTGGTAAAAAATTAAAAATCGGCCCCCAGCTAAGTTTCCGAGCCCTGAACTTTCCAAGAAATTTTAGGTTCATTGTTTTAACACCTCAAATTTAAATAATTAATTTCAATGAAATCGGTTGATTTTTGGTTGATATTTGGGCCGTAGTAAACGTCCAGTTGCTGATACCTCATTTCTTCCAAAATTTAAGAGGATATATCCCGAAAGTTGATCAATTCGTGCCATGGTCGATATAAACCTACATATAAAACTTCACCAAAATCGGTTCAGCCGAACTTGAGATTCACGCGTGCACACACAAGCCGGCAGACCGACATCTCTCTAAAAGCAGTTTATTTACACTTCCCTGCCACGGAGAAGTGCGTTTCCAGCGAAAACGCGACATCTGGAATTTCGTCCCATCACATAATATACAATGTGTATACAATGCGGTCGGCAAAAACAATTGATATTCGGTCTAACCTGACAATATAATGATAACTTAACTACTATTTATAAACATAAGAGAACATCTCTAGTTTAAAACAGCAATTATATTGCATTATCGTTACAATTTAGAAAGAAGAGGTAAGTGGACAAAAGAGTTAACTTACATTTGCATTTTGACACATTTTTTCATTAAAAACTTGTAAAACTATTAATTTTTTTGTTATTTACATCCTATGTTCACTGTCAATCTCGTCTTCTATCAAGTTTCTAGCTATAAGAGTAATCACAGATTAAAATAAGTAAAGTTTAATGATGTTCTATCCGAAAAGCTCGATTTTCGTCAAAATGTTTAACCCCTTTGTCCAATTACCTCTTCAATTTTCATAATTGCAAACTGAATTTCATGTAAACGTAATATCATTGCAATTTGTAATGCGTATTTTGACTCTAAAATTGGAGTTATACAATATTTATACACAATTAGTTTTTGATTTCTGAATCCCCTTTTGATTTCTTAAGAACTGAATTATAAGATAATATAGTAATTTTTGAATTTAATATTTCAGAAATAGTACTAGTAAATAGTACGAGTACTTTTGTTTTGAATTTCATTTCCTGCATCGTCTAGTGATTAGAGTATTTTTATAATTTTGAAAACAATTTTGATACTTGTTAACACGGTAAAACAAAATGCAGTGATAAAATGCAAAAGCATATGTTAGTTCAAAGAAATGAAGATGACAAAGATAGTAAAATGTAAAAGGATAATAAAATGCAAAAGGATATTTTAGTTCTAAGAAACTAAAATAATAAAATCTTTTTGCTGTACGCAAAAAATAAGGTTAGTTTTGCATTAAAAAGAAAATCTGAAATGTTAAAAAACAATTTAAAAGGATAATTTGTAGGAAATAAAAGTCATAGAATATAAAATTTCACGACTTGGAAAATACGAAATAAGTTTGATAATGTATCGTATGTAAAGATAATTTTGTAAAAGTAAAATAAAAATAAAGTTTATATTGTAGCACTTTCCCTTCAACAAGTTAAAATACTGCCTTTAAAAACAATCTATGTATATCTACCACACTATTAAAATTATTTTTAGTTATAAACGAAACTATTTCTAGGATTGCATATATTTAGGATGAACGATTTATGCAGTCTTTGAAATAAAGCAAAAATTAATTTAAAGAGGGCTTAACATAATGTTCGATTTTAATAGTTAATTGCGTGAGTTAAGAAAAATAATTATATTTATTAATGTCATGGAATTTACCGTTAGCTTTCTAGAAGAAAGTTAGGAATCTAGAAAAAAAGCAACATCAAAAATTTGAAAAAACCAATTTAAGATAAGTTGAAAAATGGCATTTTTAGGGTTTTATGGGGGTATAACTTCTAGATGGGGGGAGATAGATAAAAATTTTCTTCTACGGAAATAAGTTTCTAGTAAAGAGCTATTTACATATTTAATTTGAGCTTTCCATCTTCAAGGGTGTAGAAGTTTTGTAAACATGTCCACAGACGAATGGGCGGACGGACGGACAGAGTGAAACTAGAAACCACTTTTTTTCAAAAAAATTTTAGCCAAAACGATAAAATTAAAGTAAGTAAAGCGGAAGGTGGGAAATTGTCTACGGCTGACAATACCACCACATTGATCACCTAGATGTAATTTAAGGAAGGTATAAGGTATGGTCAGCATTTCAGATCATGAAGTCGCGATCGAAGGAAGACACAAAACGTGATCATTAAAAAAAAATATTAATAAAAAACAAAGATTGAAGACGTCGGCGGTAGACGCAGAACATTCAAAAAATATTATCAATATGGATATGAGTATATAAGAAATTTACCAATTTTTCATAATGGCAGAGTTTGATTAATACACAAGAAGACATTCTTGAAAGATTGAACATGACAGTGAAAGATTGAACATGTTGATAACACAGCGGTTGTCAGAAAAGAAAATACAAACGTCTTGTTGATAAAAAGAGCTTTAAAGAATATTGAAGATTTAAGCCGATACATAAATCGAATTGCTGTCGATGAAGATAAGGTATACTATGAAATAATCATAAGAAATTTAGTTGAAAAATGGAAAAAAATTAAAGAAGATGATGTAACCATATGCACAGAAATTAAAGATGCCGATGAATATGGATACGATGTATATATGGAAGAAATTGAAGATGAAGTTCGCAAAGCAGAGAAGCGAATGAGAAATATATTAAACAAAGATGCCGACAGCAAAGATATGTCAAATGTAACAAACTTAACTAATGTTCCGGCAAGAGTACCACAAATTAAAAATCCCAAGTTTGACGGGGATTACAGTAAATGCCTACAGTTTAAAGAGCTTTTTCATCAAGTTATTGAAATACAAAGAATCAATAATAGAAAAAATGTATTACCTAAAGCCCAGTTAAGCGGAGAAGCAGTAAAACTTATAAAACATTTGTCAACGATTGAATCAAACTATAAAGCAGCTTGGCAAATATTGAACGATAGATATAACAGCAAAAGATTATTAGTGTCAAACGTCTTAGAGAAGTTATTGAAAGAGCCTTAAGTTGCGGCCGGTTTAAGTAAATCATTGAAAACATTTCATGACAGAAGGTGTCCTGCTTTTTGAGAATACGAACATATAAATATTAGATTCAATGGATCCTATTTTGCTCCATATCTTAGTAAAAAAATAGATAGAGAGATCCGCGCTCTTTTTGAACAAAGCCTGCAGAACCCAAGAAAATTAATATCATTAGAAAAATTTTTGAAATTTATTGAGTGACGGTTCCAATTACTAAAAGCATTAAGATTGAAACAGGAAAAAAACAAAGAGAACCATGAAGACATGTTCATGTCTCATTACAATACAATGAAATGCGTAACATGTGAAGGAGATCACATTATTTACGAATGCGAACGATTTACAAATGTAAAACCAGAAGAAAGACAGCTAGAAGTAAAAAGGTTAAATCATTGCAGTAATTGCTTAAGAAAAGGGCATTACGACAAGGACTTTCAAATGCAAGAAATGACAAAATGAATGGTTACAAAAATTAAATAAGAGCTGACATTTTCAAAATTCCAGCCAACCCAAGTGTCAATGCAGCTTGTTCAGCTGAAGAAACTGATTATAAATATATAATTTTAGGAAAGCTAGTAGAAACAGTTCTTGGAAAAAATAATGAGAAGGTAGATTGTCGGGTATTATACGACCCACGATCACAAATAAATTTAATCACCGAAAGATTACAAAAGCGGTTAAAATTAAATAACAGAAATTATCAGACGAATATACATGCTGTGGGAAATTTGAAAGCAGTGCCTGCAAATAAAGTAAATACAACAATTAAATCAAGATGTACTATTAAAAAGCGGAGATAGAAGCACATGTAATAAAGAAAATTACTAATAAACACCCACAGAAGTACATTGATATTTCCAAGTAGAAAATTCCTCACAATATTAGTTTAGCAGATCAAAACTTTAATTCACCGCAGCATATTGATTTATTATTGGGTGCAGAGTTATATAACGAAATAGTAAGGGCCCAAAAAAATAAAATTTGGAGCGAAATCACCAATTTTGCAGCAGTAAATATTTGGAAGGCTCGTAATTTAAAATTAGAGTCATCGCGAGAACTTTTCTGGAAGCAGAAGAAATAAGAAAACCAAAGCCACTATCCAATGAAGAACAAAGACGCGAAGAATTCTTTCAAAATACTACAGAAAGAGATGACGAGGGGAGATTCGTTGTTAATTTAGCCATATTATCAAATACAGAGTTGTTGGGAGATTAAAGAAAGATAGCATTTCGAAGATTCCTGAGTACTGTACCAAAGTTAGAGAAAATCAGACAATAAAACAAAGACATATAGATTTCATGAAAGAATATGAATTATTTATTCATATGAAATAAATAAGAGAAGATGAAATTCCGATAAATCATTATTTTCTACTGCATCATTGTGTTACACGACCAAAAAAAAGTTCAGCGAAACTACGAGTAATTTTCGACGTATCCTGCGTTCCAATATATTGCTAAATGATGTCATAATGAAAGGGCCGAAAGCGCAAGGCGATTTTTTTGATATTCTATTAAGATTTCGGACATACACACATGTGTTAACTGAAGATTTAAAAAAATAAAAAGATCAACGATTTCAACTAATAATGTGGCGTAAATATCTTAGCCATCGAATTAAAGTTTATAAGCTGCAAACAATTACTTATGGAACGAAAGCGGCGCCATATTTAGCTACAAGATGTTTAAAAAATTGGTAGAAGAAGAAGGTATAAAATCTCCATCAGGAGCCAAAGCCATAGAAGACTTTTATGTAAACGATGTCATTACCAGTTGTAATTCCATATCGGAACTTATACAACTAAAAAAACAATTAGTCAATGTGTGTAAATCTCCAAAGTTTACAATGCACAAATGGAGTTCTAGAAATGCCCTACTACTACGTGATATTCCAGGTGAACTGAAAGAGACAGAGAAAACATTTGAAGACGAAGAAGTAGAATAATCAACTTAAATCCTTTTTTGAATGAAGACGGTCTTCTAAAAGTAGGTGGAAGATTATGTGAGGTAGCTATTTCGTATGACGCTAAATATCAAATATTGTTGCATGGAAATGATTTCGTATCCACTTCTATCATTGATCATCTATAAAAACAACACTTGCATGCAGCAGCAATTTGGCAATTAGAGAAGTAATACGAAGAAGGGTACATGTTTGTCTACATTGCAAAAGAAGACGAAAATTGCTAACTGAGATGATTGGTAATTTACCGAAACATAGAGTAATACCAGCAAGAGCATTTGCTAATAGCGGCTGTAGATTTTTGTGAACCATTTTGGAGTCATTATCATATAAAACGAAAACGTCCAATAAAATGTTACAATGTAGTACTTGTCTGTTTTGTAACAAAAGCAATACATTTGGAAGTTGTATCAGATCTAACATGAGATGGATTCATTGCAAGATTTGTGGCCAGAAGAGGTGTTGGCGAAAAATTATATTACGATAACGCGACTAATTTCGTAGGTGCAAGAAATAAGCTAGTCGAACGTCATGAAATTTTATAATCTACAAGCGCTATAGATCGTGAATGCGGCAAAAAAGGAGTACAATTTAATTTTATCTCATCTACATCTCCTCATTTTGGTGGTTTATCATCAAGCCCAGATGACTATTCAGCATTGAGTCCTGTTGCATAAACGAGCTCTTTTATTGTTCCCCATACATAAATGTCCATAATAGTAAATCCATTTTAATTTTTTCAAAACTATTTTAGTATGATAAAATCAAGCTGGACGCTATGTTTAGAATACCTCTGCAAAAAGCTAAGGTCCGAAATTTTAGATTTCTGTCTTGCATTTAAGTCTTCTTTTTTTAATATTTTCTGAAATGTATGGTTTTTTTCGTGGAGCTCTTCCGAACAGTCATTGTCCCATAATTAGAATATTTGGATAAGAACATTAAAAAAAAGATAAATTAGCAACAAGCAAGAGCTGAAGCAAGTAATTTCAGAAAAATGGCACAAAATACCTTCTGAATTAACATAAACGCTGGTTGAATCTATGCCTAGGAGATTAAACACAGTATTTAAAGCAAAAAAAAACGCATACCAAATATTAATTGACGTTGTTTTCAAAAAATTAAAACACTTCTTGCAACTGAGCGGTTTTTTTTGACGCGTAAAAACGGCTGTATTTTTGAATTTGTTGAATTTTGGTTTTGTTATTGTTTTTTTAATGTTATTTTTTTCATAAATTTTGTTAATAATTAAATTGAATTTTATAAATTTATTTTTGAATTGTATGATTAAAATATGAGATATTAAGAGTTAAACAAAAGAGATTCTACTGAGCGGTTTTTTTTTGACGCTCATAGTATGATGCTGGCGTTTGTATTTTTGCCATTGATTGTATTCGGTGCAAAGATTTTACATAAAATAGAGCAACTGAAGTATATTTCGAAAACATTGGTAAAAAACTGTGAAACTCATGGCAAGTAAGTGGAATTTGATAGTTTACCATAGCACAACTAATTATTGGGCACGTAATAAATTCATCAACAAGGGTGTGAAGCTTCTAAAAAATTTAACCACAGATATGCAGAATGATGAAGTATCTAGACAATTAAATGAGCGGTACGATTACAAACTAGAAGAAATCGATGAATTAAATCAATTATTATTTGATAGTTCGATAAATCATAGTAGGAAAAAACGTGGTTTGACATAGGACAACAATGTAATAGGAAATATTGCAAATAAACTATTAGGTGTATTAGATGACGAATATGCAACAAAAATGATTAAGAACATTGAGTTTAATCAAAAAAAGTCATTTAACCTCATAAAAAAACAAACATCGGTAATTGAAGCAACAACGAATTTAATGAAAAAAATGGAAAAGAAAGAATTCAACAATTACAGATAATTGAGGGTGAAATCAATGAAATAAATAGAACGTTGGCATTCTTGTTGCCAAGCGAAAAAGATGATAAGCTTCAAAACATATTCTTGTTAAAGAGTCAATATATATTTCGTTAATGATTGATGAATTTCAAAAAATACAACTTACCATTTTAAATGGACTGCAGGATACGCATCATGAACATTCAATACACTGATTTTACGAATTAACCAAACAAAACATTCGAATAGAATTATAAATACCTTCACTAGAACAATTATATGGATTGACAACAGTGAAATCAAGAATTTCCCAAGATTATATTGTATTTGTTTTAAATATTCCTTTAATTAAAGCAATGAAGTTTCAAATACTCAAAATTTTTCCATTTCCACCAGTATTAATCAATTCAGCAGTTAAAATAGAGACAGAAAAGGAATATTTTATCACAAATCTACATTATCGCATACACATTATCCAACGCAGAATTCAGAGATTGTACTTGTTTTAAGGACGATAACTATTTATGCAAACAATCTCAGCCTTTAATGACAAAAGAAACCAAACAATGACAATATGAATTTCATTTATAGGCTGAACAAAAGAGAGCAGAAAGTTACAAAATAATAATATCAAAACCTACGAAAACTTAGATTCAGCTCTATAAAAGAAATTCATGGATGTATTCATTAGACAAAGAATATCTTTACTATGCATAACAAATAACATTACAACGCAAAATTGTATATTTGGAGAAATCGAGATGACGATCCAAGCGTTTTACATCATTGACAGCGAAGTTAAAAACCAGTTTCCACAACAAAATGTGCATAAATTACAAGCAAGAGTTTAATTTTATATTCATACACAATGATCACATTAAACATTTAAATTTAACAGAATCATTTTCATCAGAACAAAGTAACATAATTAAAAAATTACGAGTTTTAATGAAGTCTAGCAATTATGATGAAATGTCAAAATATTAACAAACAATTTAAAAGGATAATTTGTAGGTAATAGAAGTCATAAAAATAATATAAAATTTCACGACTTGAAAAAAACGAAATAAGTTTAATAATGTATCTATGCAAAGATAACTTTTTAAAAAAAGAAAAAGGAAAATAGAAAATTTAAAAATAAATAAAATCCAACCAATCAAATTGTAGGTAAATTAAAATAAAAGTTTCTAGTAGGGATTTTAGGGTAAGAAATTTTTAATAGTTTTAAAATTTGTTAATAAAGTTAGAAATCGTTTTTAATGTGAAGAATAATCGTTCATTATTAGTATTATTTTAGAATAGAATAATACAAATGCTAGTAGATCTTCCTTTGACACTCCCGAGCCATTCTGCTTAAATAATAAGATAGCCGAAAAGGTAAAATTAAAGTAAGTAAAGCGGAAGGTGGGTAATTAAGGCTGACAATACCACCACATCGTACAATACTATTGAATTTTAAAAAGCAGGCATAAGATCAAATTTTATATATGTACACAATCAGAAAAGGGGAGGTTTTTTATTTTTATATAATTATGGACGTTACTAATAAATTTTAAGAAAAGCAAAAGCAAAATAATCATAATACCTTTTTTTCGTCTTCAAAAATTCAGTTATATACGATAATAATACGCAATTCAATAATAATAACACATTTGAAATTTTGTTATGCAAAACATATATATAAATATATTAAATGTATTAAACAACATCAATTAAAACAACCCATTGAAACAAAAAAAAATCAAAAGTAAAAGAAATATATTACAAAAAAAATTTAATATTTTACAAATAAATAACAAAACCCAAACATTAAGAAAAAAAAATAAATTGAAAACCAACACCTTTTTTTCTTTTTTTAATGACTATTTGATGTCTTACCCATTTGAAATCGTGTAGTGGGGCTGGACATTCGCCCATCACCGCCATTACTGAAAGCTAATACTCTCATATTATAACTTTTTCCCGGTATTAAATTTTCAATATATGCTTCTAGTTTATTTCCTATCAGTACGATTGTATCATTTGCTGTTGTCATATCTTGATCTGATTCCCAGACCCTTACCTGAAAAGAGTAAACACAATAAAAATTTTAAACGCAAAGAAAAAACTGAGTATATACATATGCTAAATGTAATAAATAATGAATAAAGTTAAGCATCGGAATCATCGAAACATGAGAATTGTAATTATACCCTATCGATACACAATTCAGCAATTGCGATTGATAAGCTGAATTCTGCATTAATACAGTATTAATACATTTCCGATCTCAGGGTATATATATATATATATATATATATTAATTACTTTGTATCCTTGTATTGGCTCTTCTTCTTGAGATGGTGATACATAACGCCATATAACACGTACAGTTGATGGATTAACTCCATATACAAAAACTGATGAAGGCGGTTTTTGTGGTGCTTTTCGATATGTTCGCTCTTTAAAAATAAAAAAAATGTTCCGTAGATATAAAGCTATTTTATTTTATTTTTCGTTTTTTACCTATAAATCTTTCACTTTCAGGACCTTCACCTGCTGCATTGTATGCCATCACTTTAACATGATAATATGTATCTGGTTGCAAACCAACAATTAATGCCCAATTCCTGGTTGTTCTTGATAAATAATATGTTGCATCTTCTTCAGCATTTTCGACTTTCCAATATTTCAATCTATGACCAATTAATTTGCCACGTATTTTCTCTCTTGTCATTTCAATTGGATTCCAGGTAACATTTAATGATGTTGAATTGAAACTTCTAGCAACAACTTGTTGTGGTGCAACTTGTGGCATATCTTCAGCTGAATATATTTTAACAACTTCGCTTTCTGGTCCTGCTCCTTCATTATTAATTGCTTGTACTTTAACATCGTATTCAGTATAGTATAAATCTTTATTACGTAAATCAATAACAGCAATACCAACATTACCCTGTTTATCTAAAATTTGTGATGCCCATTCCCATTTACCATGTAAACGCCAAAATACTTTATAATAAATTCCTTGAGCATTTTGTTCTTCTGATTTTAATGGATTCCATGTTATTGTTAAATCACCAATTTTACCACCACCGCCACCAACATTTCTTGGTGCAATATATGGTTTATCACTGCGTGTATTATATATTGGGGACGGTGCTGATGGCTGTCCAATACCTAAATCATTTACAGCACATACACTAAACTCATATCCAGACCATGGTGTTAAATTAACAACTTCTGCTCTTTGTCTACCAGTATAACGATCAATTTCATGTGCTTGTACTTGTTCTGATACATTTATCCATGTTCGATTCCAATTTGTTCTACCTAATATATTATAAAATAATATTGGTCTACCATTATCAGAGCCATCAACCCATTCAATTAAGGCTTTTGTTTTACCAATGTCAATAACACTTACACCACCTGGGGCACCAGGTGGACCTTCTACAATAACTTGTGTTTTAGCTGATATCTGATTAACAGCTGATTTAACAACACATTCATATTCCCCTGCATCTAATAATGTAACATTATGTACTGTTAAATAATTTCTTTCTGGCTGTATACGCAAATCGTCAAATTCTTTTAGTATTCGACCATTATGTGTCCACATAAAAGCAACATCTAATACTTCATCATATATAACTTCACATTGTAAATATAAGTATTGATTAATTTGTGTAATAAGTTTTGGTGGTGGAGTTTGTATGAAACGTAATTCTTGTAATACTATTAAACGTGCTTTACTTTCATCGGTACCATTTGAATTTGTAGCTACACATGTATAAATACCTTCATCATCTCTTGATGTTTGCCTTATAATTAATGTTCCTGATGGCAAAACCGTTCTATGGCCACCGCTTCCAATTATATTGCCATCTTTTTTCCATTGAAATTTCGGACGTGGTGCAGCTTCAGGATCACACACAATTGTTGTATTACCATTATAAATAGCGTAAATTTCTGATTCTAATGGGCGTTTCTTAAATGACGGTTTCATAGATAATACACGCAATTGAGCTGATGAAAAAACGGCTTTCAATTGATTTTCAGCTCTACATTGATACATTCCATCGTCTTTTTCTGGATCCAAATATTTAATTGTTAGTACGTTATCTTGTATTATAAAACGATCTCTATCTAATTTATCAATATCTAAACGTTCAGCATTTTTATACCATGTGTAATTAACATCGGGTATTGCTATTGCCTCACAAACAAAATTTACATCACTATTAAAGTCTTTAATTTTATCTCTCAATGGTATTGTAAAATTTGGTTTCATTTGTATATTTAATGTAATTTTTTTTTCTAAGGATTTTCTAAAATTATCAATTGTACATATATAATCGCCATTATCATTAATTGTTGCATTTGGTATAATCAATACCCGATTATAACTAGTTTGGTATGAATGACGTGGTAATGGTGCCCCACGACGTGTCCAATTATATGATGGCACAGGATAACCAAAAGCTAAGCATTCTAAACGTATTTCTCCACCAGCAATAGGTGCATCCGGGAAAACTTTGGGAAAACTATTAGCAAAAATTAATGATTGTGCGTCACTTTTTGGATGTACACGTAATGGAAAGAATGGCCCATTACGCCCAGTATCACTAACCATACTTTGTACTGAACATGAATAATTTGCTCTATCCACAGCTTCAATAAATGAAAAATATAAGGCACCATCATTACTAACAAAAACACGTTGATCTTCATCAACCAAATTCAAAAATTGATCACGGGACCAATAATATTTAACAGCAGGATAATGTTGTGGTGGATCACAAAATAGTGCTTTACCCCAGTTCATATCGGATACTTCAGCTGAACGTTTTAAATTAAATTCCATTATAAAACCAAAATTCAATTGTGCTGATTCAGATCTTATACGACCAAAACGATTTTCAGCAACGCAATGATAATAACCTTGATCTAATATCTGTTTTGGATCATATATTATTAAATTACCACCAGATAATGTATAACGATCATCTTTTAATGGATCAATTTGATGAAATTTTAAATCATTATTAACATATTCTTCTTTAAACCAATAATAAACAGGTGTTGGATATCCGCCGGTTAAACAACTTAATGTAACATCGTTAATTAAACGACGTTTTGATGTATCGAATGTTGTATCAACTGGTTGTTTTATAAAATATGGACCACGTGGTATTTTTTCTAAATCACCAACTTCAATACCATAATCAAATGGACGTTTTTCATCAGCTAATAAATTAATATTATCAGGACTATACAATTGTTTTGATTCACATATAAATAAATTTGTTTCATCATCAAATGTTGGTATAAACATCCACTTATCTTTAATTTTTGAAAAACCATAAACTAAACGATCTCTTAATCTATAACGTCTTGTTATATCATCCCATACATATAAAGGATTATTATAATATGGATTTAAATGATCTAGTGGTTGATTTAATACATTTTGATCATATTGATAATCACGATTTCGTCCAGTTAATAAAAACCTATTATCTTGTAATATTGATAAATCATCACGATATTCAGACGGTTCATCATATGAAAATGCATCTTCAATATATAAAAATTGTGAATTATCATCATTTATCCAACTTTTTGGTGATGTTTGACGTGCTGATACCCAATATCGATTTTGTTTTTGATTTTGTAATATTAGTTCTTTTAATATAAATGAGTGCTTATTTATTGAATCAATATTTATTAAATCAGAATTATATGCACGGCATATTTTTTTAGCTTCATGCCATGTACGACGTGGTGATTTTATAAAACGATAACATACCTGTTGATATGCAATCCAATATTCTGGACAAAAATAATTTGGATCAATGTCATCTAATACATTACCATAAACACCATAATTATTATAATCATTATTACCGTAAATGCGATTATTCAGTGTACTACCATATTGTTTATTTGGATCATAAAATGTCCCAGCAGCAGCAATACCACCGATACCAGTATTGCTACTACCACCACCAATAGTATTACCACTAATTGAATTTGGATTAATATTATAATCTCTTGATGGTGAATAATTACGAGATGTTGTATAATCACGATTATATGGGTTTTGTGGTTGTAATGTTGAATATTGATTTAAGTTTAAATTATCTTGTGGATAATTTTGTTGTAATTGTGGTCCATAAACTGTTGTTGAATATTGATTTGAAAGTGCGCTATTATATTGTGATGATATTTGATTTGTATCATTAAATTGTTGTGTTTGACCATTATTTAATAAGTATATACTAATTAATAAAAATATTATTAACATTGTTTCTAGAAATTCGGATGTGTTTTGCATTACAAATAGAAAAAAATAAAACTTAATAAAATATCATAAAAAATATTTTTTTTTCAATAAGGAATATATATGTCTGTATAAGATACTAATGTAATTCTTGTTATCACATTTGCAATATTCGAGATTTTTCATCTAATAAAATATCCTAAATTTTTGTATTATAATTGTTATAATTTTTTTAATTGATGTAATTGTTCGTTTTTTTTCTTGGTTGTTCAACAATACTACTTCATTGAAATTAAATTTCTGTTAACTTAGTATTTCTGAAAAAAAAAAAAAATAATTTAAAAGTAGATTCAAATTGAAATTGAATAAATGTAAATGAAAGTATTTTAAGTGTATAGGTAGTCAAGTACCTATTAACTACTTCGTTTCAAAAGAACAACCTACCCCAACCCCATTATTTTTAACTGATCCTATATATTTCTTTGTTTAGCCCAAAATATATTTAAAACTTTTTATATTTTATATTTTATATCTCCGAAATAGAATAGGATTTATTGAAATTAGCTAAGTCTAAAAACGATTCTGTTATAAATTAATTTATTATACGAAAAAAAAAATTATTTGTAACTTATTTATAAATAAGCTGTTTTTTCTTATTAAGCATTTATCAACTTGTGTTATGATAATTTTTCAAGTTAATCAAGTAAATTTTTTATAACACTTGCAATGTTTATAATGTTAGATGGCTTGAATATCAAGAGCCGAAATCAATAATATGTTGTCTTAAATAAATTTTGACTGATTAGTTGATTCCAGCAACAAAACAACATATTTGGAGTATACCTATTTAACGTTTTTACAAAATCTGATTTATTTCTATAATTAAAAGTTTTTTAATCACAGGGCTTTTATATTTATAGAGTTATTTAAATTAAAGACTCCCTAATATTTAGAATTTAGAATAGCCTAATAACTAATAAAAACAATTATGCTATGTATATTATATTTTTATCAATCGTACCTATAAATTACACATATACAATACATGAATGAATACGTACGTAAATACCTAACAACCTAAATATGTGGTTTCCGGAAAAAAAGTATTGTTTTTAAGCCTAGAAGTTTTAAAATATAATTTTTACTTACATAATTAACCACACACGAATAGAATAGGGTAATTTTAAATATTTTATAACTTCTTAAATATAAAAAAAACACTAAAAATATTAAATCTGATGGCGGAAAATAAGACTTTCTCATATATGCAAAGGAAAAATAACACTGAAAGCATTTAAAATTAATTTAAAAGATTTAAAAAAAAACTAATTAAAGTGTATTAGACATTCTTAATTTAAATAATTAATGGTCAATTAGTCATCTTTTAATTAAAAAAAAAAATTGTTATTTGAATTGAAATGAATACAAAAATTATTTTCTTTTTTATTTTCTTTTTTTGTTTTCTAATGTTCTCATAAAAAAAACAAACAAATCATTCTTTTTAAATTAAAACTTACATGCTTCTACAACTAGTGTGTATGTGTATATGTGTGTGTAAATAAATATATGTATAATCTATATATATAATATATATATATATATATATATATATGTATTTATTATTGTTATTTGAAATATTTGTATTTGACTAACCTGTTGTTGGCTGGGGCTACCTACATACTTCTAAAATCTAAAACATTACAAAAAAATTCCTTCTATTATAATTTTCTTTGAAATATTAAAAACAAACAAAAAATTGTATGGAATGTGATAACTTTCTTTCCATTGAAAAATAAAAATTATTTAGCACTACTCTTGTTGAATATTTCTATTTAAAATATAAGAATGAAAAAAGTATAGGTTAAACTCAAATTTATCCTAATATTGAAAACAAAATTAAAATAATAATTACAATTACATTCTTTTTGGTAAATATTAAATAAAATTTCTTCCAAAAATATTGAAAAAACAATTAAAAAATGAAACTAGATCAATTCCTTCAATATTCTATTATTATTTCTTAAATAAACAAATTCAATCAAAAATGAATAATAACACAAAAATGCAGGGTGTGACACTGTTTGTCAAAAGGATTTTTAATTTGTTATAAATTCATAAAAAATAAATAATTACAAGACTACCAACTTTGACATTCAGTGTTCCCACTCGGTAAAAATAAAAGGTATCCAATATGTACTTAGTCTCTCAAAGTAGAATTACTATGATAACTCGTCTTATTTTGTACAAATAAGCTCATAATTAATATTAATTTGCTTTTTTCAACAATGTGAGTTTTGTTATTTATAATAAATTCCTTAAGAAATCACGCGCAACTTCTATTGCATTTTAATTGTAAAAATTAAGATTAGAAAAAATATATGTTCTGAATCATTACCATGAAAACGGACAACTTATGTTGGAAATTATTAACTTAATTTATTATAACTTAACGGAATTATAATTTGAAACGACGCATTTTTTATGATTATAAAATTTTAAAAGCACTATCATTATTATAAAACTTAAAATCAAATAATTACAAATTTAAATTCTAAATTTAAATCTAATAAAATTTTTTAACTTTATTTTAAGTCGTTTATTCCTATACTAAAAAATATAACACCGATTTTTTTCTTTATTCAGTGTATTATAATACTTTACTTTCAATTCTCTCAGGTATGTTGTCTGAAATGGCGGTAAAAAAAAAACGGGAAAAACTCGAAAATATATTTAATCAAAATTATCAGTCGAAAATTGAATTTTTGATATGTTGTTCACAAAACCCCAAGTTTCATTTTAATATAAAAATTTTTAGGTTTTAGTCAACTTTTTGTATAGCAAACTCGAAATTAAAATAGGCAAAAATCATCATTTTTCCAAAAAAACAACAAATAAAAAAATTATCTTCAAAGATGTCATTTCGCTAAAAACACCTATGCATTATTTCAAATACATTCACAAAAAAAGCAGGTCTTGATTTTTTGCAATATCAAGATCAATACCCATATTCACACTATTCTTTTTCAAAAGACATCATTTAAATGTAGGGCAATAAAAAGTCACATTTATTATGGCCGTTTACACGCAAAGCTTGTTGATGAGAGGAATGAATTGCAAATAAGTAAACGTAGTCACTCACAGTTGTAAAAGAAAATCCAACGTGACTTCAATAATGCGTTTACAATGTGAACTTTACAAAGTATCACATTTTTTGTTTTTTTTTTTTTTTTTTCATCGAAGGAAGGAGGAAAGCATGAATGCTACTAATTCATGAGTTACCATTCCCTGGCAACCCATAGTTAGTTATGTGTTTTACCACCAAAACCTCCTGCTTATATTCTGATACTAGTCCCCTTCTGATACTAGACTGAAATAGATTAAACGCTACCCGATATATTTGATTCTACTGCCATAATTGCAGTATCGTCAGCATATTTAGCCACAATTGTATTTTCTATTTGAGAAATATCTCTTGTAAAGCGTAGATATAGTATTGGATCCAAAATACTGCCCTGAGACACACCTGCTCTTATTTCTCTAAGTATGGAATGGTTCCCCTCCTGTTTGACTCTAAATAATCTGTCGATTAAATAAGAAGAGAGAATATCTACATATTTTTTTTTCTTCTTTACTCCTACGAATCATGCCCTAGTTTCTATAGTCATAGAGAGTTAGCCAGGTAGGTGACTAACCTACCGTAGTTTTTTTATTTATATTAAACATTTCAGTTTATAATATTTACTGTTTATTTTTCTTAGTCTTTAGTATCGAATATTATGAATATTTGAAAATTACTTGTATAATATTTACTATTATTAGTATTGTATATTAAGTTATATAATATTGAATATAATTTTTTAGTGACCTGACCGGTGTTTGAACCTGAGACCCTTCGGTTGAAGGGCCGGTGCCATAACCACTGCACCAACGCTCAGGTTGTATTTACATATTGCTTTGGAAATTTTTTTTGTAACTTGTGTATTAATCCTTCGTGCCAAACCTTGTCAAAAGCCTTTGCCACGTCTACAAAAATTGATGCATAAATTTGGTTTTCCTCTAGGGCCTGCCTAATATTGTAATTCTATGAATTTGATCAGTAGTTGAATGTTCTGCTTCAAACTCAAATTGGTGGTTCGGAATCAAAGAATAAACAATAATTAACTATTATCTTCGCAGTATTACTCACGATTTTATCACAAAATTTTATTTTTATTGTTTGACCTACCTTAACTGCTTAGTGCACATATTTTGTAAAAAAAAAAAAAGGTTTTTTGTAGAACAAAAGTAAAAAAGAAGAAAAAATTTATCTTGAATTTTTTGCAATCGTGATTGTTGTACTACCTAAATTAAATAATACGCAGTTTATTGTAATTAAAATTAAAAAAAAAATAAAAAAATTAATAATAATTACAATAACTTTTTCTGCTTAATAAAAGTTGATATATTGATTAAATTATATTGTAGTTGAAATTTAAAGTAATTAAAAGTTAAAACCTAGAGTAAAATAATTATCGAGATGAGTTCGATCTACAGATGTGATAGTTCAATATGCTCTGTATCAGACGCTAAAAGCGAATTGCTTACTTGCAATGGATTTTGCAACAAAAGATTTCATGGGATCTGTTTGAGTGCTCCTAGAGGGTGGTACTCCTCTTTTCTGGCGCAATATTTTGTGTGTGAGTGTGTTGTGTGTGAGTGTGATGGTCCATGTTGTGCATGGACCATCATTCTAAATTGGGCAACGTGTTCAAAGATATTAATGTGTCCCTCAATAAGCAAAAAGATGAGAACATGGGACCAGCGTTCCCACTTGAATAAAATTATATCCATTTGTATACATTTTTGCTTTAAATTTGAGTTTGGATACAAAGATACTCAAATCATCTAAAATGCCGAAATTGGCTACATTTGAAAATTTTGCTAAAATATGGTCAACAGTTACTCCGTGGTCTGCTTCAATCCAACAGTTGGCAAAGGTGCATCTTTGCAGGGTGAATTGACCTGTTCTGAGCCTCCTGCAAGTTCCAAAATGTCCGCCGCTGCTGAGACTAATTGCTCAAATGAAAAATCTTGTACTACTTGCATCAGACTTTCAAAGAAACCAGCCACTAGATCTTCCCTCAACTCTTCGCCTCGATGTTCGAACCTATTCTTTTTAGAATTTTCAGTGACCACCACAGTAAGTAGCCTCAAGTTGTTATTAATTAAAAAATTCAAGTGCGATAATATAACCATAGCTAATTTCACTCCAAATAACTTAAAATATAAGTCCAAATACAAGTCTTTCAAAGTTGCTGTACCTTCTTCCATAGCTGATGACATAATTGGTCATAAGTTTTGGCATGTGGGTACGGTGATTCATATTTTAAGGATTATGACTCAATGGGGAGTGATGTTGGATACGAGGAAGCTAATGCTTCAATGCACTCTAAACTTAAACCCATACTTACTTAATAACCCACTTAATAATAAGAGGAACAGGAAACAGTTTGGTTTCCAAAATACTAACAATATGGACAACTCCCCACGCGCTGGTTCTTCTCGCATAGGCAAGCATACTACACAGGTTCTTTTCCGTAACAATGAACTTAAAGGGAACAATAACATAAATAAAAAAGGGAAAATAAAAAATTTTAACAATAATTGTAATAATAATAAGAGTAATAATAATAATAATAATAATAATAATAATAATAATAATAATAATAATAATAATGAGAGTAATACTGACATAAATCTCGATAGCAATAATAATAATAACGATGAAATTAATGAAAAAGACCATAGCGACAATACAAATAATAACAAGAACAAAAATATTGACAATGGAACCAAATATCCAAATTTCATTTTCAGGGTAAAACATTCACAGCTAATACTCAATTTTCTACATCTATACCCAACACTCACAACCCACCCAACGCTCGCTTATTGCAAACACATCCGTCTACTAACTTTATAGATCCGCTGACTCCTCCGATCGTTCATATGACCAAAAGGTCAGTTGAAGATGGTGATAGTACTTATGTACTTTCGCGCTTCAGAGATCGGGCTGTCCACTGGAGAATGCCTTTTGAACGTCTTCGACGCGGCGGAGAATGTCCACCACGATGGTAAAACTAGATGAGGTGTTAAGGTTTTTATTGAAAGTGAGGACCGGAGAGTATCACATTCCAAAACGTTTAGTAAGAGCTCTTCACATTGTACACTTTTCCTAAATGCGTCCTATTTGAAGGGGATACGTAAAATAAAAGTAAATCGGATATCGAAAAAATCGAGCACACTTTTCTTATATGTGTCATACAAATGTTGCCAGAAATAACAAATTAAATAAACCGTGACTTAAATAATGCTTTGTAAAAAGTTTAAGAACGGTATTAATATGATTGTACTACCATCTCAGAGCTTTCAATGCCTTTCATCATCATCCTCAGTTCTATAACCCGGTGTGGGTATTGGCTTCCTTTACTAGTTTCCTCGATCTATCTCTATCAATAGCCACGTTTTTCCAATTTCTAATGATCATTTTATTTAAGTCTGCTTCCATGTCTTCAAGTTCTCTTTTTTGACCTTCCTCGCGGCCGATTACCTTCTGGGTTGGCGGTTAGCATGTTTTTCGGAATTTGGGTTTGTTCCATTCGTATTACATGGCCAGCCTGTCTGATTCTGTTTGATTTAGCGAATCTAACGATGTCGGCATCCCCAATCAATGCATTCAATTCATCATTACATCTGATTCTCAAGGTATTTTCATCTATTTGTATTGCTCCGAACATTTTTCTCAGTATTTTTCTTTCAAAAATTCTAAGGAAATATATATTCCATAATTTTCTTCATTTGCTGTCAATGACCAACATTCTGAACCATATGTAACTACAGGTCTAATTAAAGTTTTATAAAGCGTGAGTTTTGTGTTACGTAATATGATTTTGGACTTAAATAATTTTATGTTTGCATAATAGCTTCTGTTTCCAACTTGAATACGTTCTTGTATGCATTCGCTATTAGTATTTTTATTATTGATTTGCACCCCCAGGTAGT